GATGAGGGCTTCGGCTGCATTTTCGAGACTGTAATAAGATAATTTCTCCAAATCAGCTTCCTCCTTTTGGGAATTTCCTAAATGAATAAAGATTCACGGGAAAGTTGCACGGCATGTCCCCCACCTCTCTCACCCCCTGGGAACCGAGCCTCTGCCAGGACCATTTTCTAACATCGATCACAACCGTCAACCACTAGTACTGAGCGGCAAGTCCCAAACTGCCTATATGCGGTCTGTTGGTCTTGTTTGAAATGGAACACTCTCTACGGGGGTGTCCCGGGTCAAAATATCCACGTAACAATTATAGCGGACAATAGCACAAGCCACTCAAATATTCTTATTTGGTTCGTGTGCTCTCGACTTTCGTCTACCGTTCACTACGGTACCGATGTGTCCTATACTGACTCACTCGTTGTTAAAGGCTTACTGAGCGGTATCACTCCGTAGAAAGGGTTTCGTATGTCGCGAATGTTAGCTCCACTCTTGGAAATTTCTTGTCTACCCCAACCTCATCCCAACCTCGTCGGACCCACGGGGTAGGGCTGGGGAAGCAGCGCTTAAATATACGTCGCATCGCCTCCACTGGCTCCACTGGAGCATCCGTTTCATCTACTTTTTGCAACACATCTACATACGTTGCTCTAGCTAATATTCCTCAACAGTGGTATTCTTTGTGAAGAGCAGTCATCCTGCTAAATTATAATCGCCCTCACCTCAAACCGAACAAGCGTCTATCGATATCAATATCGACCCGCTACCGACATATTCGCGCTCTGGCACGCCGGCAGAGTTTAGCTAGGCACAATGCCTTCGAATTGGTTCCCTACAGGTACGGGCGAAAATGGGTGGAGGTTGGATATCGTTTCTCTTTTGGCCGTCATTGGCGAGAGTTCCATTGAAGATCAATCGCAAACCCTCACAGCCTCATGGACCTGCATGCTTCCTCGGATCATCCCTGCGCCGCAGGTTCTCCTCAAATCTTCAAGGCCGACTCGGATGCCCTGCCATAATGCCGCTGTTGTGGGTGTACACAACGGGACCCTAGTTCCCACATTGAACTACTTCCCGAATATCATGCATCCTATCGAGGACCTGACGCCGTTTGTGTTCAAGGTCCTGCAAATTACGCACAGAAAGAAGAAAGAACCCACGATGTCAGTGAATTCAGATGAGAGTCGATCAAACAATAGCCCGGCAAGCTTGGATCTTGGGATGATTGAAAACGGGCCCCTAACACCTCTTGAGCGTCGAACCGCAAAGAAACTCACTCATGCCACAAAGCTGGACAGGGGAAAACCTCGAGTGCCTCCCCAAAGGTTCTCGCCGCTGAAAATCCTCTCTGTAGGATCATTCTTTGTCACTGTAGGGCTGATAATCGGGGCTGCCTTTCTGAAGGACGGGACTGCAATCGCTGCTGTTTGCACCATCTCCATGGTATCTTCCATCGTGGGCTATGCATCCTGGTGGCAGCCCGTCCTCATGAAACGTTCATTCAAGTCTCGAGTTCCAGACGGCGACGTCGTGATTCGCACCCGAGAAGGGGCGTTCCTCCTCGTCCGGTGCAATGAAGACGTAGCACGCGAACTCTACACCGGAACGGAAGAGTGCCAGTACCACGTCGGTACCCGGATGTACCGTATGTACGTCGGTTTCGGCACCTTTCTTCTCATGGCTTCTGTCGTTCTGATGGGCAATTGCGAGTTCGCTATGCAAGCTGCTATTGGTCTCTCTTACATCATCTTGAACGGCTTGTTCTGGGCCGCGTCGCTCATCCCGGACGATGTATTCTGGGACCTCTCAAACTACGAGTGCAAAGATATCACTCCCCCCGACGCCCAGGAAGCAGACCGGCCTCAAGATGATACCCTTGAGGGCCGACCCAGCTTCACACGGACAGTATGGTACGCCATCAGGGAGACGAAGAAGATCGGGTGGATCACCCGGGGCGGAGTAGCTCCCAAGACAGACCAGTGGGATGCTTGGCTTAGAGAAGCGGAGCGGAACGCGATTCTGGGCAACAGAGCATGGAATGCCGTTGAGATGCGAGAGAAGATGGTTGGGCAGGCTGAGCTTCCGGTGCAGAACAAGCATGATCTGGCGGAGCAGCATGTTCCTGCTATGGAGGTCCCAATCACGGAGAAAAGGTAGGAAGGAGGAAGAGATATGCAAAAGCTATACTTGCCATTTACCCGCGCAGATCTGCTTTCTTGAAGCACTATACCCTGCATTTGTCTTTTAGCTATTCGAGATACCATTGGGGTAGTATCTACACGTGGTCTTGAAACTAGCGTTCAGCGTAGTTGCATTTGGTGAACGGCGTTATGTTTGACGTCTCCTCAATATTCTATTTCCTTTCGGGTTCCTGTTCACGAATTTTGTGCTTTCAAAAGGGAATAAATGTTCGAAGCAAAATCTGACCATTCAATGAAGACGAATCTTGACGTGGTCTTGCAGTATTTCACTGTGGCATCATGAGAATGTTAAAAAAATTACTTCATCCAGCTTGCTGCTGTTGCATCTCAGAGCGTTCGTTAGTACTGTACCTGTCCTTTCGAGACCTGATATGAATCTCAACTTCGCAATAGCAGTTAAGTTCTCTACTTACATCACTTATATACTCTATACTTGATAAAGACGCAAAATTAAAAATCGGTTAACAGTAACGATGTTTTATACTACCGTTGTTTATAGCTTGCTTGAACAATTATCTCTTAGTGCTCGACCTGACTAGTGAAACTCTTGTAAGATTTAATTTAGATCCCTTAGCATAACACTTTCCTACCAGTGCGGTTGTCGTCCTCGTGCTCTCTTATAGAGTCAGTCTTGGGTCTTTCTCGCTTTGCGGCAGGTCTATGCAACTTAAACATAGGCATTCAGCATTATCCTGGGTGGGATCAAAGGCAGGGAGGATGATCTCTTCACTGATGCCCTAGGAGTATAAATGCAGTCGTTGCGTAGTGCTTTGTACTTGAACTCCCTATATTTTGCCGTTTACCGTGAAACATTACTCAAGCGACTATATCCAATTCTTGTACAGTACCTAATTCATAAGCGAAGAGTCCTTATTTCTTGCGCAAGCATACGACAGAGAAATTGTCAATTGACTTATGAGTTTATTTTTAAGGGCGATTGCTTGGAGAGAGGAAAATGAGAAAGCTAGCAAGCCAAACTGACAGGCACCTTTAAGCTTTGATTGGTTGATAACAGCGTGCTAGCAAGCTTGTTCGCTTTAGTAGCTTGGCAAGCTGTTCATTGCCGACATAGCTTGCTAGAGAATAGGCCAGCTGTTCTAGAGAATAAGTCATTCTGAAGTTATGAAGAAAGGCAAGGGATGGGCGGGGAAATGAAGAAATGTATTCCAAGCCATCGATCAATGCTAAAGACCGAGTAAATCTGAGAGAATACTACTGTAATATAGCGTTCAAACACCTCTATCCTGCAAGATCCAGAAAATCCTCAACTCAACGGAAATTGTAGCCAAAGAAACTCCTTCGAGAGAGTAAACACCGAATTTTTGAAGTAAATCATTGGAGTCGTTCGCTTTACGGCAACCCGATAGTCGCACTCCCGCGCGCTTATCGTCCCCGCTTCTTGATATGGTATAGTATGGTTTGATAGGAATTTGTTCATCCATGCGTTACTTAATGAGCCGTCACCATAATGGAACAGTATCACAAACCAATATCCAGTCCTGGAACAAATCCTTACGAGCCGATATTATTTCATCAATCTGTGCCGCTCATTCAACCACTTCTGATGACGAATGTCTCGCACTGATCTTCTGAGATTATTTGTTGAGCTGCAGGTGCAATTCTTTGAAGACTAGACCTCACCCAATCGATATACTACGTCTTCTAAATATTTGCTCTGCATCTGTTCCTCCGGCAGAACACCTCCTGGCTACATCTACTTCCTCATCCGCTCGCTTTTCGTCTTCAAGTTGCACATCATCAACATGGCGAATGAACCAGAGATCCACGACCACATGCCGCATCAGATGAAGCATAAGGAACAGAATCCCATGACAAACTGGGTCTATGATGTCTTCTTATGGACTTTCTCGATCTTGGTGGATCTCTTCTTCCGAGAAGTTCATCCACGAGGATCGTGGAAGGTGCCTCGACGAGGACCTCTCATTTTTGTTGCTGCGCCGCATGCGAATCAGGTCAGTGGGAGAGCTCAGACGTACGAAATGCAGTATTAACTATCTGATCAGTTTGTCGATCCTCTTATTCTCATGCGAACACTCCGAACTGAATGCCACCGACGAGCTGCCTTTCTTATTGCTGCGAAATCTATGAACAGATGGCTCATTGGGTGGTTCGCGAGAAAGGTCGGTGCTGTACCAGTTGGACGAGCTCTCGACATGGTAAAGCCAGGATCTGGAACCATATACCTCCCAGATCCAGTGAATGATCCCCTCCTCGTTCGCGGAGTAGGCACAAATTTCGATAGCAGCGAAGTTCAAGTTGGTGGTTTATTGGTTCTCCCAAGCGTCAATGGCACTGCTGCCAATGCTGAGGTCGCAGAAGTTATCAGCGCAGAGGAAATTAGATTGAAGAAACCCTTCAAAGGCGAGGCAGCGATCAAGCAATTGACAGGCAGAGAAGATCTTACTCACAATGGAAAATTCCAAGACGAGAGCGTAAAGGGGAGACCGGAGGAATTCACCGGTTCGAAATACAAAACTGCTCCCAAGGTAGACCAGACACAAGTTTACGATGCGGTATTCGACCGTCTTAGTGCCGATGGAGCTGTGGGCATTTTTCCTGAAGGTGGTAGCCACGACCGAACTGAGCTGCTTCCTCTCAAAGCTGGAGTTGCTATTATGGCCCTCGGCGCATTAGCGGCAAACCCTGAAAGCGGATTGAAGATCATACCTTGTGGCATGAATTACTTCCATGCGCACAAATTCAGATCCAGGGCCGTCGTTGAGTTTGGAAACCCAGTCGAGGTTCCTCAAGAACTTGTAGAGCTATACAAGAGTGGCGAAAGGAGAGAGGCTGTAAGTCAATTGCTCGATACAGTCTATCAAGCGCTGGTTGCAGTCACTGTCACAAGCCCAGACTATGACACCCTTATGCTCATCCAGGCAGTTCGAAGACTTTACAACCCCACTGGCAAGAAGCTTCCGCTCCCCATGGTTGTAGAGCTGAACAGGAGACTTGTTAAGGGCTATACACACTACAAAGATGATCCCAGGGTCATTGGCTTGAAGAAATCAGTTACGGAATACAACAAACAGCTACGATACATGAACATCCGGGATCACCAAGTTGAGTACGCCAAGTTTTCGATACCGAAAGTACTTCTGCTCCTTTGCTACAGACTAGGAAAGATATCGGTCCTTTCGATCGGTGTCATTCCTGGTCTTGTACTCTTCGGCCCCATCTTCGTCGCGTCCAAGCTCATCAGCATCAAAAAATCCAAGGAGGCCCTCGCCGCATCTACCGTGAAGCTCCAAGGTCGGGATGTTATGGCCACTTGGAAATTGCTTGTCGCTCTTGCGCTCGCGCCGGTTCTGTATAACTTCTACACCATTCTTCTCACGTACTGGACATATCGTAACCGGATCCAAGGTTATATGCCAGAGTGGGTGCCTTTGTGGGCAGTCGTCATTTTTGGGTACATATTCTTCCCGATGATCACTTTTGCCGCCCTCCGTTTTGGTGAAGTTGGAATGGACATCGTTAAGTCTCTCCGGCCGCTAGTCGTATCTCTCAGCCCTGAGTCTAGCAATATCATCCACAAGCTCCGGGAACGGAGAGCTCAGTTGAGCGCGGAGGTCACTGATCTCATCAATACACTGGGTCCGGAAATGTTCCCAGACTTTGACGCATCCAGGATCGTGGCCGATCCATTCTCGAATGGAGCTGGGATACCACCATCACTAAAACACCGCAGAGGTAGCAGCCAATCTGGTATTTCTGACTCGGACACACCCTCCCCTTTCCCAAAATCTAATCCTGATGCTTCCATCGGCGCAGGATCAGGCTCAAACGGATATCTTCCAAGAAACGAGTCCTTCAAAAACCTTGGAAATATTGGTCTCTTTGCCACCAGACCACCTTCTCGAAGCAGGAGTCGTAGCAGTAGTAGTGGTGGGGCAGTCGGGTCGGCTGGATTCCCATTGAAGAGTTTTAGCACGCTGGACTCTAAGAGTGGCTTTGAAGAGGTAAGCATGAAGATTAGAGGTGCTATGAGAGAACGGGGTCAGATACGGAGAAGAAACACCGACCAGGCAAGGCAGGAAGAGGCTGATGAGAGTGAGGGCGAAGAAAGCAAAGACGAGTAGGTGCCATTGGATCTTCTTTGTTTGGTCGGGCTGGGCTGGGCTGGATGGGGGGGGCCAAAGCGATTGCAATAAATCACTGGCGTCTGGAATACCAATACAATCTTAATTTCGCCTGATGTTTTTCTTCTATTTCTATGCGTAATTACTGTATCCTTCATGCTTCTGCATACAAAGTTTGCTGAAGCCTTTACTGCTTGATATTCGTTCACTTGGGGGATGGCGTGTCAGAACGAGACTTGTCTCTCCATCGCCCAGGCCTTTCCCTTCCTCGTCAGCGCTACCTTTTGTCTGTCCATGCCCATCCTAGAAGTGGATCCTCTGTTTCTCTGTGAACAATCGAAGTTTCCAATTGATGCAGAATTTTTGTTTGAGAGCTCGTTGCACGCCTGATATGTGCTAGAGAATCTTTGGTGCAGGGGACTGGCTGATCTTGTCCGGCTGCAAACAAACCTCTTTTCCAATCTCCGCAGAGCCATAGTTGTAAACTCGTTCATCAGACCATCAGACAGAGGATAACTATTGTTGCTACATGCTGGGGGGAACTGTAGATTAGTCGGGCTAGCCTGTATGCGTTGTTGCATCGATGTTTGGATTGTATCCTGTGTTTCCGTGATGCGTGCAAGGTGGTTGAGCTACCCCGCCTCCTCTTGTTGGGAGATGGGTTCGAGTCTTATGCCTGTCCTATTTCTGCTTTTTCTGCTTTGGCAATGGTTGCTTTTGTGACTCGTTCGGTTGGAATTCAGCAATGGGGGTCATTGTGTAATTCGTTCGGTTTTGGGTTTAGCAATGAATCATTTCGTAATTCGTTCGCTTTGAGTCGCAGTGAGGGACTTCGTACTTTCCCATTGCCGGAATAGAATCCCGCAGTCGTTTTGCTGAAGCTAGAATCCGGCGAGCAAGTCGTGACGACCGGCATTGCGAAGCGTTGGTGCTACCGGCACCTCGTCCTCGCTTCACGGCAGAATTTTTTGAATATGTTATATGACCCAGCAACCAAGTGCTCCCACAATAAAATAAGCCAATCGATCATGTAAGCCCGTTAACACACGCTGGGTCATATCTCCTCTACACCTAACAGTGGTTGCTATGAGATCTAACTTGCACCGTAAAATGGCGTCTTGGGTGCGTCTATGTGGGGATCTGGGGGAATAGATTCGAGTTGGAGTGGATTAGAGTTCCATAAAATTTTGTACTTTTTGGTACAAATTCTTAGTACTTTTTGGTACAAGAAACTGCACATTTTGGGTTTTGCGAATAAATTTTGGGCGTTGGGGGGGGGGGGGAGAGGGGGGGGCGCAGATTTATATAATTTTTTGCTATCTATACTGATCTTTTTACGATACAGATGAGGAAAAGAATAACGTTGAATACTATCTAGACAAGCATGAGAACCACGTTGGGCACGATGCAGATGCTCCTTCCGTTTGAGTTCACTTTCGCTCGGGCGGCGATGATGCGCCCGCAAGAGAACCACTGCGATTCATTAAGGCGGCTTTCTGTTCTATTTTCCACGTTGCTATTCACTTTCGCAGTTAAGGCCACAGATCAGAGCAAAATTGATAGACGATCACACTAGTCAATAGTATATAGTCGTCGACCTTGCCTACTCAAAGACACCTCCTCTCCCATAAACAACCTTCTCTTGAAGTTCAGCACAACAACAACCTCTTTGATACCGCTCCCAGTCACCCAACATCTCTGTAGTAAATCCCGGCATCCCCCTTTCGTAAGTTCACTCCTAACTTCTCTTTCCAGTCCGCACCCCCAGAAGCTCCACACCACGAGATCGACCCCTCCGGCAATCCGCTCATCAAAGTTCACACATGCCCCCAGAATGCTCCTGACATGGACGCCAGCAGCTCTGAAATCGTCAAATTAACCCCGGTTCGCGTCTCGGGTAACATCTTGATGGAAAACTCGGCGAGTTTCCACCATGCCACCAAGGCTCTGGACTTGACCAACCATCAAGTCGTCGATCAACACGAGGATATGGTCGAGGGTCTTGAGCTCTGGCTCAAGGTCTTTCATGGTACCCTCAAAAACGAGCACCGACACCTCTCCGTCCTCACCCTCCAATCATTCTGGGACGCTGCCGGTTTGAGCCAGAAGTACGTGTTCGATCTGAAGAAGCTGAGCGTTTGGTTCGCACTGTGGTTGGGGGAGCAGGATCCGCAGACAATCGACACCGGGGAGATGGAGAAGGTTCGTGAGCTCTGCACTGCTTTTGATCATGCAAAAGGCTTTGAGATCTTTACGCTTCTCCTGGCGGAGAGACACGGAGCTCAACACCCCGGAATTCATCCAGCCTTCAAGATGTTCCCGCCTGTGCCTACGATGTCGTACCGTCAAAGTACCCGCTGTATCCTCACGATTGGGGATGTAGAGCCCGGAGATTACGAAAAATGGGGTTTCTCGAACAGATTTCTGGCCGTCTACGGAGAAGTGATGGAGCATTATTCCGACTTCGAGCGTCTGATGAAGACAAGTTTCGATCTTGGTATCCTGCCATCCTACAAAAACTTCAAAGTGCTCACCCAGAGCAGCTCGACCTTCCTCCGGTTCTGCAGAGCGGTGGATAACAAGGCATCCCTACACAATTTGCCGACAGTGACTCGACCCCAGATGGAAGCTGCTTGGACTTTCCTGGCTTTTAATCTCTTCGACAAGATGCGAGTCCCTGGTCATTTCAGCGAGCGGGCAGCTGCAGAGCTGAAGGATGTCATGCGGATGGTGAGTCTCTATGACCAAGTCTATAAATTTTCTCCCTAGGTTGCTAACTGGAATAGCGTTTCCTCCCAGATCAAAAGATCGAGAGGTACTGGCGTGAGAGGCAGGAGAAGGCCGGTTGGGATGCACAGTTGATTCAGAAGATGCCAGATGGATGTGCAGAGCCCCCGGAGCAACAAACAATGGCCGAGCCAGATGAGGATGATGAGATGGGTGAGGAGGCTAAGGACAAGAACATGCGCGTCCTGAATCTGGGCATGAACGACATAGAAGTTGATGACGAAGATGACGACGACGACGACGACGATATGACTAGGGAGGAGGCAATTCGTAGGCTGCTCAGCCTGGAAAAGAGCAGACCCGAATGGGTTCCCCAGCAGCACCCCAAATAAGACAACCTAAATAGCAGCACAACTAATGTATAATGCACTCATTCCATTTTCACATGTTCCATCACGGGAATTCGAAGATGATTACGGTTTAGAAGCTTGACAAGACCGATTAAAAAGACTGTGAAGAAACCCTCCGCTTTGCACGCTAACCAACCAACCAACCAACCAACCAACATCAAAATCCAAATTCGCCCTCCAAGGATTCACCCATCTCACGCGCGAGTGGTGCACAGAGGGGAGAGGCCGGCTGATATTACCGTAGAACCCAGGATTGAGGATTTACGCTCGTATATATATATGTATATATATGTATATAGCTACCTAGCTATTCCTCGCTCGAGCTTCATACCCTTCCGTACTGTACCTACCCTATACAGGGAAGGTCGCACAGGGCGGCAGGGGCCCTCCTCTCTCTCTCTCTCTCTATCGATGACCTGCAAGTGAACAACAGCCCGCTAGAGGTCGTACTCTGCCAATCAGTACTTACTTACCGTACAACTTCTTCAACTTAAAACCCTAGGCGAGATGCCTAGACGCGCACGCCGAACTGGCGAATCGAGGGGTTCAGTCTCTTCGTGAAAAGAGAGAGAGAAAAGGAATAGGGATTCAAGGGTTGGAGTTGAATTGTAACGAGAAGCCCGTTGAAAACCCTCAAGGGGGGTGGGGGTGTTGATTTCGCCTGGGACGAGGTGAGATAACAACAACAACAACACATCAACAACAACAACAACAACAACAACAACAACAACAACAACAACAACAACAACAACAACAACAACAACAACAACAAAGTAAAGCCCCTCCTGCCTCTCTTCCCCAATCCCAGTCGTCTACTTCCCCTGGCCCTGTCCCTTCCCCTTCCCTTTCTTCCCCCTCCCAATCTTCTCAGGCGGCAAGACAAGAGTACCCCCCTCAATCTCCCCCTTCTCCAGCACGCCCCCCTCCGCCGGCACATTCCCCTCCATCTCCCGGATCTTCCCCTCGGCACTGATACTGAAAAGCAGATCGCGGTTCGCCTCCACCAGCTCCCGATTCTCCTCCCGCACCTTCTCCATTTCCCGCTCTACCCCCTGCATCCGCATATTCACGTGTCCGATGCGCTCCATCAGTCCCTCACTCACCCTCTTCTCCTCCACCAGGCTCTTGCCGAGCCCGCGCGCAATCTCGCCGCTCTTCTCCGCCTTGCGCTTCTCCCGCGCGAGATCTTTCTCGAGGACCGTGACGACGTCTTGTTTCAGCATCTGGTTCTCGGCGCTGAGCGTGGCGAGTTGGGAGAGCGCTTCTTCGGCACGAGCAGAAGCAGACGCCGCAGCGGACGACGCCGCAGAGGCTTTCGCCACTGCTTTGCTTACCAGCTCTTCGAAGTAGACCCGTTGGCTTTCGAGTTGCGAGGTGAGGAGGTGCGTATACTCCAACCCGATCCTCTCCAGCTTCTCCCGCGGGACCATGTCCCCCTCGCCCCCATCGCCGCCCCGGCCCCCTCGGCTTCTTGATGGGAGCTCGATGACTTTGTCGCCTTTATCCCTGATCAAACGGTGGACCCATGTGTCGCCCGCATAGTCCCAGACATGCTGCGTCTCAATCTCCAACGCGAAGTTGTGGGCCGCCTCTTTCCAGTGTTCTTTTGCGTGCCCGCCTTTGTAGCGGCCGCAGCCGACGGCGCCGCAGATAAGACAGATCCAGAGGTCTTCGGTGCTGTCGCAGACCGAGCAGAGGGAGGCCTCGCCGCTGCCAAAGGGCGGGTTGTAAGGGTCTTGAGGGTAGGAAGCAGAATCTGACGAGGGAAAAGGGTTGGTATGGCGGCAGACGGGACAGCCGCTGCCGCGCCACTTTTGAAGACAGGCACAGTGGAATACGTGTTGGCAGAGGATGGTAAGAAGGCCGGTTGTGTCGTCCATCCGCTCCAGACATACTGGGCAGGTAGGAAGTTCGACCAAGTTCGGCGTTGGTGGTGGGAATGGCCTGAGTGAGGATGAAGGCGTTGAAGAGGGCGTAAACGGATCGTGAGAGAGCTCCGGGAAGCTGGTATTTGGAGTGGAGGAGGTATGCGTTCGGAAAGTAATGGACTTGATGAATGTGACATGGCAAGTCTCTGGCTTTGGCAACGTTAGCAAGGTTCACAAAGTAGACAAACAGCACCTCCAGTATCACATCCAGCGAACATACCTCCATACTGTTGAAAACCTTCCCATCCCACTCCTTCTTCCACCTCCTCGCAACGCTCGCATCCCTAAACTTCATAAGCACCAAATACCGATTCATCCTCCCCGTCATCACCATTCGAAAGTGGCTAACCTCCTCCCGCGTCCTCTCCCCGACGAATCCCAAGAAATCATTCGTCGTCAGGTAGCTCGGCACAGCAGGAATACACAGCGTCGTGCAATCCTCCTCTCCCTCTCCCTCTCCCTCTCCCTCTCCCTCACCCCCTTCAACATCATACAGCTCCTCCCCACTGCCCAACGCCAGATCCCCATCTCGGTACAGATGCACCACTCCCCACCCCACTTCCGTATTCTTGACCCTGCTGCCCCCTACACTCTCGAACCTCGCCTTCGTGACCTTCCCCTGAGAGCCTACAGTCTCCTCCGGCGCAAGCCCAGCATTGATCCCATTGCCGACCGCGACCGCAGCAGAGCTGCTCTCGCCCCTCTTATGCTTCGGCTGCTCCAACATATCCAGACTCTCGACTCTCACGCGCCCGAAGCGCCAGTCTCTGACGGCCGTCTGCAGCCGCGCCTTGACGTGCTTCGGATTGGGCGGGGGGAACTCGAGGGGTTTCTCGGCCGCGATGGTGGTGTAAGCTTCACTTGTCGGGGAGCGGAGACGGGCTGCTCGCGCTCCGCAGTCGATTACCCCTACTCCTCCTCCCCTGGCTTCAGCGTCACTGGCCCTACTTCGTGCGTGTTCTTTCTGGCTGATGGTTCCTGACCCTGGTGTTCTGGTATGCTCCTCCTGAGCTGGCGCGTGTGAAGGCCAATGTTCCGTCTCGAAGATGTCGCTTTCTGGAGAGGGGACATGGACAGTTCTCGCACGCTCTTCTTCCTCATTCTTATCGCGCAGGAAAGGCGCGGAACTTAGACACGTGGATTCTGCCTCTGCTGCGATCGAAGGGTAAGGATAGAGCTCGAATTCAAGGTGGTAGAAAAAAGATGGCATTCTCTCACTGTAGGGCGTTGTTAATGTTCGAAGGGCTCATGGCGCATGCTTTATGAGATATTTTGGAGTACATTTGTAGAGGTTTCCGAAGGGCTTTTTAAAATTTCCTGAACATCTGAACCGTCCATTCACGAGACTGGCAAGCAAGGCGCGTTGATGGTTCATAACGTGCAGAAAAGGCGTGGTGGGGTACGAGGCCAGCCTTGCGACTGTGAGATGCCAGAAGTACTTGCTGGGAAAATCTAGCACCCAGCCGAAAACCCACCTTGACCGCATAGTTTGTAATACATTAAAAGTCACAGTCATTTTTTTTCAGCGCAATAGAACAGGCCTAATAATTTAATTGGACTCATAGACCTATCTGCCCTCTGCACCTGCCAGTGGAGCCATGAATCTCATGCAGTTTCCGGAACGCCAGCGCAAACGCAAATCCAAAGAAACGAAACCTCTCTCTAGACGCTTATTGACCCCCACGAAGACGCAACACCAAATGAAGAGTCGACTCCTTTTGGATGTTGTAGTCGCTCAATGTACGGCCATCCTCCAATTGCTTACCAGCAAAAATCAATCGCTGTTGGTCGGGTGGGATACCCTCCTTGTCTTGAATCTTCGACTTGACGTTGTCAATCGTATCCGATGACTCAACCTCCAACGTAATGGTCTTGCCAGTCAGGGTCTTGACGAAGATCTGCATACCACCACGTAGACGGAGCACCAAGTGAAGAGTCGACTCCTTTTGGATGTTGTAGTCGCTCAATGTACGACCGTCCTCTAATTGCTTACCAGCAAAAATAAGACGTTGTTGATCAGGTGGGATGCCCTCCTTGTCTTGAATCTTCGACTTGACATTGTCGATGGTGTCTGAAGACTCGACTTCCAGAGTGATAGTCTTTCCTGTCAGGGTCTTGACGAAAATTTGCATACCACCACGGAGACGGAGCACCAAATGCAGGGTCGACTCCTTCTGAATGTTGTAATCGGAGAGAGTGCGGCCATCCTCGAGTTGCTTTCCAGCAAAGATCAGACGCTGCTGGTCAGGGGGAATGCCTTCCTTGTCCTGGATCTTGCTCTTCACATTGTCGATGGTATCGGAGGACTCAACCTCGAGGGTGATGGTCTTGCCGGTGAGGGTCTTGACGACTGCGGGGCTGTCAGCAGATGATGACAAAGCGGAGGGGCGAAGAGAGCAACTTACAAATTTGCATACCACCACGAAGGCGGAGGACGAGATGAAGGGTGGACTCCTTCTGGATGTTGTAATCGGAAAGGGTGCGACCATCCTCCAATTGCTTGCCCGCGAAAATCAGGCGTTGCTGGTCGGGAGGAATACCCTCTTTGTCCTGGATCTTGCTCTTAACGTTGTCGATAGTGTCGGACGACTCGACCTCAAGGGTGATGGTCTTGCCGGTGACTGCGCAGGTGTCAGAAGGCGTAGAAGGTGAAGTGGCGTGTTGAAGGTGCGAGGAGATGAGGGGAACTTACGGGTCTTGACGAAGATCTGCATGGCTGCGGGGATTCAGGTGCTTCTGTAGATGTGTCTGGAAAAGATCTATGGAGATGTTGGATGGAGTTGTCGAGTGGTTGAGAGTGGATGTGTGAGTGGAAAGGGGAGAGCGTTGGAGGGGGAGAGGGAGGGCGAGCTTATATTGAGATCGGAGGTTGAAGACGGTCGGTCGGTCGTTGCCTCGTTAGCGTGGCACGCTAGTCAAAGCGCCCCGCTCAGCCTGGTTTTGGATGATTCACCTGGCGAGAGCGAGAGGGATCGAGAAACAGCTACGCCTCGCCACCCAAACTTATTTATCCATCTCATCGATTCATTGTCTACCCTTCCCTAGTGTTCTATCACCAATACCCTCGTCCATTCTGGCTGTATATTCCATTTTCCATCCTCCATCTCCTATGCACCCCCCCTCCCCCCCCCACCACACCATCCTTGGTGACGCCATTCGTCTTTGAATACCTCCCACTGTACCGACGACGTCTCATCCCCCGCACCCGCAGCGATACGGGTAGCAGCGGGGCAAGGCCGTTTTTAGCAAGCCGCGACTCCTACGTACGGTGTTCCCGTTCCCAGCCCGCAAGCCATCTTAATTAAATTCCTGTCCTCTTCAACGCAAACGCTTCCAGCCTCAGCCTCAGCCTCGGCCCAGCCTATGCTCTCCGTGTCTCGGAAATTTCGACCTCACCTCTCGATTCGATACACTTTGATTATCTGCATCTGCATCTGCATCTGCATCTGCATGATCCTAACAGAAGCATAGGTACCAGTAGTATCAATCAATAAATCAGTTGATCCATCATACTACATTCCCTACTTACTAACAAGTCTTGTTTGTTCACAACAGCCAAAAGAGGTTGCATACCTACCGGTATCTATCTCCTTATCACCTTCACCGCGGCTGGCAGAATATATACATCTTCTGTACGTACAAGCACGGTGGCCGGAAGTCGCCGGCTTGCATGTTGACCGCGGACCCACCTGCTCTGCGTCATCAGCATCCCACCGGTTGGCGATTACGACACAGGACAAGCAATGCTCGAGCTGGAATAGGTACTGTAGTGCTCATGTAACCAAAATTGCAAAATTGAGCCGAGGCGATGCCGGCCTAGAACTTCAGTCACGTGGATATGCGCAGATCCGAAGGGCCGGTGTTTCGAATATCAGTCAGGGACCGACAGCAAAGCTAGCTAGCTGGGTGAGTCTCGGGATGAGTGGCGAATGTGACCTTGTCGCGCAAGCATGGGCATATCGGTGTTTGATCACTGGTCTCATGACGGCAGGGCATTTATTTAAGCCTTCACACAATCGAGTTTGAGGAAAAGCCATGTCCCAAGTATCCAGGTAAGGCTTTTTTATTTGGACCGAGATCTACATCTGATAACGGTTCTGTCATTATCTGCAGGACCATACACTTCATGGTCTTTCCTGTAGTAAACGTCAAGCAATCTGGGCATCCCCCATTTGGACGGGAGCCGGCTATCCAGGACTTTCCAATACCCTCTCTGCCTGCTTGCTTAATCCTGAACGCTGCCTCCATAAGATAGAACATAAAGCCGTAAAAATTCATCAACGTAAAAATCCTTGATCTCGTGATCTTGAAAGACAATCATTTCGTACAGATCTGAACTAAAATAGGCAGATAACCATCATAACGGGTCGTTAATCCACAAAATCGTCATGATCGACGATCCCCCCCGCCCAAAAAAAAAATCAGGTTAGCGCGAAGAGAGAGAATCAACGCCTTCGCTGTTGGCCGTCAATGGGTGGTGCGAACAAGTGAAAGTCTTTCCGAGCCTGGCCCAATAACAAAGGAAATAATCGTAAATACGTCGAGAAAATGGCCGGGGGGAGGCCCTCCATAAATAGCGTCGCTGCGTTTGTACAGTCGGGTACGCGAAATGGGTATAGAACGGTAATGGAAAAATGAAGACGACTAGTTGGCTCGGATAACCAGTTTTGAGAGGAATTTGTTGGATAAGCAGTCGAAATCTCTTCGGTCGAACTTGACATCGGGGCGAGTCTTAAGGTAGGATTCTATCTCCGTGTCAGTAAAAAGTCTACACCACTTTTGGTGAGGGGAAACTTACCATGCTTCGTGACGTGATCCTTCATTTCAGTCATTGCTTCACAGACAGCAACGTTATTGTTGAGTAGTTGTCCATGTCGTCTTGTATCCCACTCGGTGAAGGAAGGAAGCTTCTGTGAGATGGCGTGGAAGAGACCAACAATAACACCGACGGGGGTGGTTTCCATATCGCTGCAGAACTTGTTGACAACAGCTGCATCGGGAACTCGGTAATGGCAGTCGAATTGCATCTCCTCCCACACGGCAAGGAGGATGGAAGCAAGCATGAAGATGGTAGGCCAGTTCTTGAGTCTATCTCCGCTGTAGACGCTAGAGTATAACGAAGACAGCTCCTCGAGAATCTCCTTTTGAAGCTCACGCCACATGTCGGCAAGTGCGCACTTGATCTGGAAGTTGATCATGACCGGTGCAATGATCTTTCCGTTGTACCTGGACTCCTCATCTTCGATCAGACCATCCATCGGGTGCTCATCGCCACGCTGCTCGACCATGGTAACGTGTAGCGTAAGGTTGTAAGCCAGCACGAGCTTCAACGCCTTTCGGATGACAGGCACCTTTTCCTTCATGTAGTAGCGGTGCGCCGTCTTCAGAATCTCGGTGATGAATGGGGTACCCTCGAAGTAATCGTCAATGAACTCCTCGAACGGGCCATCGAGGTGCTTGTCAAGGTATTCAGACAACGCGTCCGTTGAGACGCCCTCAGAGCCGGCCGACATCCGCTCGGTGCGGGTATCGAACTCCAGAGGTTCGTCGTGCTCCGTCTCGATCCAATCGACCGTAAAGCAGCTGTCATCGCTGACGTATACCTCCCGAGCCATGATGGGAATGGCAAAGCCGTAACCGTGGGTGATCCAGATAAGCTCTTCCTTTTGAGCAAAGCCCTTGATGTTGTAGACAGACACGCCACGTCCCACGTGACGCTCGTAGTCCGCTCTCCAGTCTTTCATAAAGTACCCGATGTCCTTGATGTCGATACGCGTACAGGGAACCTGCCATAATCGGGCGTGCGAAGGTTGGCAACCAGCACATGGCTCTCCCTTGTCACAGGTCTTCTTCAAGAATTTGCATCTCAGACATGCCCGCAACTTTCTTATCTCACTTGCCTGTTTCCGTTGCTCGGGTAACAGCGGTCCGCGACGGCGTCCTACACGCTTTTCGGTATCCTTCTTCCCATTCGAGGTACGGCGGATGACAGGTTTTGTGGCTTTCGCAGTTGGACTCTTGCGCGGGGCCGAGTTTCTCCTTGCTGGCGGCGAAGAAGTTGAGGATGGTGATGTCCTACTCGACGGCGACATCCTGATCGGTACCGGGGCAACGACGGCGGCGGGGCTGACCATCTCGTGGTTGTGATGATGGGCCTCTCCGTGGTAGCAGTTGCGATGTTCGGCGGGGTTCATGTATGTTTCTGAGGCGGGCGAGTAGGGTGAGAATGAACAGGAGATGTCCTCAAAGCTACCGAACGACTCGATGGTGTGTCCGGTTCCATCGGATTGCGACGAGTCAGAGTGACTTCGAAGATGTAACGTTTGCCCCGGGTTGAAGATGGCCGCATTCTGTGCCTGCTGGTAGGCTTCGAAATTGGGGAAGTGATCCACGGTGGCCCACCCATTGTCACTGCTCGAACTTGGCATCGACATGACCTCCAGATACGTTCCCGTCGGCGAGAGGCTTCCCAAGCTCGCCCGCCCTGTACTCGGTAGCCCATCGTGAGTCCCAGCATAGCTCATCGCATTCTCGAGATCGTGCCAATTCGCCCACATGGCTGCTTGAGCCTCGACAGTCTGTGCCAATCCATTGAAGGGCGCCTCCATCTGTAAGCCGGGTTCGAAGTTCCCCTGGGTGGTAGTAGGCAGGTGGTGGTAGTCGAGTGGAGACGTCTGGAAGGGGGCCCCAAAGGTGCTGAATTGAGTTCCCATTAGCGAGTTGTCGGGAATATACTGGGGAAGGTGTTGCGGTTGCGGTTGCGGTTGCGGCTGCATAGGCCAGTCCGTGAGGAGGGAGGGCGAGTTATTGCTGTTGTGTGCGGCCTGGGGGAACTGTTGCTGGGAGTTTTGAGTTGGGGAAGTCTCGCGCCTCTCGTCAGCAGCAGCTCCTGATGCCATATCGAGAGGCATCGGCCAGCTCGGACGGGCCTCCATGGGCGTGGGAAACGGGTATCGGGGATCTCGAGGATCGTAGAAGTCTAACAGACCCTCTGGTGTGAAGTCGAGATTCGAGGTCATTGTTTTCGTGGGGGATCCGGTGTGTGTTTGTGATAGGAAGGTCAATAGTATTGTAAGAAGAGGGTTGGTGACACCGCTCTTTGAGGAAGAGGGAGTCCTCACGATGAAGACGGTGAGAGGACTGCTGTTCGTTGGGAGGTTAGGAAGAGCGGGGCCCTTGGGGGCTTTGGGGGCCTTGGGGGCGGGCCTTGGAGCGAGGTGGGTCCACACAAGGAGCGGTGAGGGGAGGCCGGAAGAAGGGCTTTTTGCCTCTGGTGGGTGGGAAGGGTGTGCCTTGGTGCCTTGGTGGGCCTGGTCTGAGCATCCCAGCCACTTGTCCACATTTTTCCCCATTTTTCCCCATTTTTCCACATTTTTCCACGCGAAGCCCGGATCAGGGGGGTGTGGGATTGGCCCAGAGGATGGCAGCGAAAGAGCCGACGGCATATGCGCGATGCATGGCAGCGGCAGGTGACCTTGACCCCAATCCAGGCCAAACTGCTTTCGGCGCGTGGCAGTCTAGAATAAACGCTCCTCCCCTTACCCCTTACTGTACAGAGAGATCCGTCCGTAATACGAGCGGTGGTACGGTACAGTACCTAGGCAGTAGGTAGTAGGTACTACGAGTAAATGGGCGTCTGTGGCGGGGTACTATAGAATGAGGCGCCATCCTCCGCAGTCGAAGGATGTCTACTCCGTCCATATAGCAAGGAGTATACGTAGTGACCATCATTCCTCCTAGCTGAAGACTCGGTAGTCAAGGTAGTCAAGGTAGTCAAGAGATAGTAGGTACTACTACGTAGGTACCGGTAGATTAATTCACAGCTGCGACAGCCGGACCCCCGCCACTCATGAACATCGAACGCGTTGCACCGGACCAAGAGATTAACCCCGCGGGGGAAATCAGGTGAGAGTCCCCAACCACGGAGTGAGGCCTTTCCGAGCCTTGAGAGAGAGCTGGTGGTCCTTACTCCGTACGTAAGTGTCCTTCAGATCCTCACGATCCGGCGGTGCACTTGCCCAATCCGACCTACCGCCGACACGCTCTCCCTACACCCCCCTACACCCCTACAGTAGCTCATCTACTCGAATCTTGAGACCCCTGCAAAGAGTCTGCCGAGCCGAGTGAGGTGGAAACCAGCTGCAGCACCGGATGGGCTACACCACTAATGAATTCCTGCAGACCTCGCTTCCCGATGGAGGAAAGAGAGAGGGAGAGAGGTGGTAAGCGCGGCAAACATCGTGATCGCCTCTGCGTCCTTAGTGACCACCACCACCACCACCACCACGGCTTGAGAGGCAAGCCATATGTACGTACGAGTACGGAGAGGCTCGTTTCTCCCCAGACCAATTTTCAATTTTCAAGTCGCCAATCCGCTCCCTTGCTGATGTGCACTGCACTGCTCACACTGCACGTCTCTCCTTCTGGCTCCACCAGCTTGCCATCTCCAAGCAGAAGGGGGGTTTATCAAATCGATCCCCAATCTTAGCTGTTCTGACGGCGGGGCCACGGATCTTCTGTGCTGCACGACTGGTCGATGCTTTAGTCAAGCATCATTACTGTTCGGAGTATGGCTGATGTTTTCGTGTCCCATCCCCCCCCCCCCCTCCCCGCACAACCGTGGAGAAGACCCCGCTCTTCCCCCCTCAGTCCACCAGCACCATCATTCTGAAGAGTGCCGTCACCGCATAGGATGGACACCAGCGGAACCACCATAGCACCGGGAATCAGATGGACTTTCACGTAGCCAGGCAACGGCGAGTAATGTTTCGAGATTGAGTCTGAGGCTAGAGTCAGAGGCAGCCGGGTGCTATGAAGACTCAATCTCATATCCTTTTCCGGCCGTAGAATGGCCGACATTAATCAAGGACTCGCATGTTTGCGCTGGCTTGACTCCTTACTAGTGATCTGAACTGGTTCTTCTGCAGCCGGTCAAGAACGAGATACATGGCGAGATTCGTGTACCGTAGTCGCCGAGGGCCGCAGCTAAACGGGTTCCATTGGACGAGGTGGACGCCGGCTGCAGGAAAACGGCGCATAGTGACATATTGCTTGCATGCGCCCGGCTTAGCTCATGCTTCCGTAATCTCCGGGGTCAGATTCGTGTGACTTGCTGGGCAACTGCCAAACCGTCATGTACTGTAACGTGAAGCAACCTCGTCCGTCGACTCTGGCCGAAAGCCTTTGGAGCTTTAGAGCTCGTTCGCATAGGTACTGGCTGCCCTAGTCGGTGTCCAGAAGTGACAGTAGGTAGGAGTTTGAGATTAGGCGCTGCTCACGGCAGACTGCATAGGCTGTTTGGCCGTGAGATTGCAAACATCCGCAGTTCGCGAGGAGATGCGCAGAAGACCTATCGTGTATCGTATCTGTATGTGAGGCTCCAAAGATGTATCTGTAGGATGTACCGTAGGAGAGGAGAGATAGATCATCCCCAGCTGTGGGAGTGGGGTCTGATGACAGATGTTGAGCACGAGGGGCACGTGCCGGTAGTACCTACCCTTATCTAGTTGTACATACGGAGTACCTGTCGGCCTGAGCTCATTGCGGGGTTACCGATAAGGATAAGGGAGGATCGAGTACCGGTACAAGCGAGGTGCTAATAAGCAAACTTGGTCCGGGTCGGCGTCCCTCGGTAAGATTTTTTTGACTTCCGATCTCCCGATCTCCCGATCTTCCGATCTTCCGATCTTCCGATCTCCCGATCCCCCGATTCCCATGCCCGTCGACAATCCGGAAAATGGAATTCGAGCCTCTCAGCGAATCAACGCCTCCCGCTCGGAAAGGAGCCTCACATGACATTCCTCGTCAAAGAAAGAAAACACCGCAAGGTCATCTTCACAAAGCGGAAGGCAAGGTCGCAAATGTCCTCTGCTCCATCGTTGCTACCTCTACCTCTACCTGTACCCTCCGGTGCCCAGCAGCAGACTACTCGCCAATCCGGATTCATCGTCGAGGGACCATCGCCATCTGATTCGGATTCGGATTTTGATATTGATTCTGTAGTGGTAGACCCAGTCGCGGAAGCCATGTCCACAAAGACAGCCCGTGCGACCATGGTCCCGGATATTTTCACCCAGCTTCCGCCATGCAGGGACCTTCACATCACAGAAAGCTCCCAAGTGCAGGACGAGACGGTGCAAGAGGTCCTTCCTTTCCTGTCAGGGCAGAACTCGGATGTGGAAACCAACGAGCACGGGGTACCACGACTCGCCCGAGACCGTCACATTAGTTTTCTTCATAAGAGCCTGGGAAGGCTACCTTCTGGCTATGTTGCCGCCGATGCCAGCCGGCCTTGGATGTTCTACTGGGCTCTTAACGGCCTAGCCACGCTCGGAGAAGATGTATCAGAATACAGACAGAGAGTCATCAATACCGTGAGGCCAATTCAGAATGCAACCGGTGGTTTTGGTGGCGGCAATGGGCAAATGTCGCATCTTGCCCCCACATACGCGATCCTCCTGTCCTTGGCCATTGTGGGGGAATCCGAGTCTATGGAACTTATTGACCGGAAGAGCATGTGGAAGTGGCTCAGTATTTTGAAACAACCTAGTGGAGGCTTCCAAATGTCGGTTGGTGGCGAGGAGGATGTTCGGTAAGTGCTTGCTTGCTTGTCATGGGGAACGTGGAATCTGAATATTGATCTGATCGGCCTTAGAGGAGCATACATTGCTGCCGTGATCATTGTCCTGCTCGACTTGCCGCTAGAACTGCACCCTGACTCTCCTGCATGGACGAAGGATGGGGCCACTCTTCTTACAGGTCTCCCGGAATGGATCTCAAGATGTACGTTCTCTTCAGTGGAAATAAATGGTGATGGATGGTCCGTATTGATAGCCACAGGTCAAACCTTTGAGGGGGGCATGTCGGCCCGGCCAGACGTGGAAGCCCATGGAGCTTATGCGTTCTGTGCTCTGGCTTGCCTTAGCATCCTCGGTGATCCTCAAGACATCATACCCAAGTAAACTATTCCAATCGCTCGTCCATGTGTGTACTCACAGATTCGTAGATACTTAGATGTACCCTTGTTGATCTCGTGGCTTTCTGCACGTCAATACGCACCCGATAGCGGCTTCTCCGGCAGAACGAATAAGCTAGTCGATGGTTGCTACAGCCACTGGGTTGGAGGATGCTGGCCTCTTCTCGAGGCATGTCTCAACGGCAATGCTTCGAATCCAGAGTCCCGACTTGTTTCAATCACAAGTGATGGGAAGCTATTCAGCAGAGAAGGGCTGATCAGGTATATTCTGTGTTGCTGCCAAGATCAAACAAAAAGGGGAGGATTGAGAGACAAACCAAGCCAGTGAGTGATACCCACCCTAATAGAAGGACCTATTCTAACATCCAATCCCAGCTCATCGGACTCGTACCATACTTGCTATGTTCTTGCCGGCCTTACATCTGCGCAGAACAACTGGTACTTCGATGCCTCAGCATCTGGATCTAGCGGTTTTCTCTCCTCGGCTTTCCAGTGGACCTCCGAGCCGATCATCGACGATTCCCAAATCTTTGACGAGGAAGATAGGATCGGAACTCTTCATCCCGTGTTCGTCATACCTCAAGGTACCGCGGAAGAGATGAGAGCTTATTTCACCTCGAGAGGAGGCTTCTAGAGTACGACCTCAACGGTGCTGGCTGCATTCAGCTTTCGATACGGTGGTGTAAGACATTGATGCATGAACTGAGCGGTTCGGATTTTCAAAGCACGTGCATGATATCAGGATAGAGATCGATACGAAATTAGAATGGGAGGTAACCACAGGGCATGGTTTGTGCGGACTTGGAGAGGTCGACAGGACAGGATAGGATAGCAAGGAGTAACTTCCTTGGTCATCTTTTGTGCGCTTCACATTCTTTCTGGGGCCCGATTCAGGTAGTAAACTGTTTTATTTTCACTGGCATCGATGGAAAGCGTTGTTGGGATTACTCCCAACCTGCTACCAGTCTACTTCATACTTCAATTTCGTCATCTTACCATTCAGTGACATCTCATTTGGTATCTTCTGATAGTCGTTGGCGAATTTACGAATCGCTCATGATAGCAGCTACCGTACTGTCTGGTCACCGATGGAGGTATTTGATTACGGAAAGGGCTGGACTGTGGATCCATGCAATCGGGCAGTCCGAAACGTGATCTTGACATGGTTGAGTGCGAAGATTAGCCTACCTGATATGCAAATGCATGACACAAGTGATGGGTCAGATATACTCTGTACGCCGTGCAACGGTTCGCTGACGAGACATCGAGCGCAGTTCCCCTGTCTTCCAGAATCAAGTGTTGATCAATTCTGTGCTTTTGCGTTGTAGCAATGCCCTGGGGCGCCCCGGATTTGTGTGGCTTGTAGGTAGTCAAGTATCATGGGCCGTTGGGCGGTTCGAGCTTCCTGATAGCCACCCCGTTCGTCATTAATCCTCCACACTCTTTTACAGAGTATTCCCCTAACGGCGACGGCCCGCGCAAATATACGCATATTCGCCTCAAAACTCGAGACGTGATCACGACCCTGAGCCCAGGTAGCTCGGCCTCTCGAGATTCCAGTGCTATCGCGTTGGCTTTCCTCTGTCCCGCAAGCTTGCATCGTCGTTGCTGCAGAGAAATATACTCGGCGCCGCTCCACGAATCGCGCCCCTTGTCTGCTGCCAGGCGATGGAGACCAGCAACAACAGCCGACGCTCGCTCGTTGTCTTGCAAATTCCCGCCGACGATAAGACGATGCACCAGTACCGGTACCGGTACCGGTACCGGTGCCGCTACCAGCACCAGTATTCGTCCCAGACAAGATGTACCATGGCCCAAAGTAAGCTCGCTATGCTGAGCTCCCCAGGAATACAGTAATACCCTCTATGTTGGATTAGCCGGCATCGGCAACTATTCAGATTCAGGTGCGTGATCTCAGTTCCGACCTCACGGGAAAGCCATTGCTGGGATTTCGACCCCAGAGCTGCTCTGCTCCGTACGGAGTAAGGAGGGCAGAGACGTCTTCGGCGGCCGTGGACCGAACAGATATTCATTCGTACTAGGCCCAGCTCCCGAGTCCTCGACCGTGTCCCTTTTCCAATATTCGCGGCATATGGCCTTACCACTTAAGACCTCCAGCGCAATGCCAGCTCATCGTACATGCGATCAAGAACCTTGCACTCGGCTAGTCGTCGGTCTGGCTCAATTGTCTCGCGCTATCTTGCCCTTCCTACTTGCCCGAGGGACTGACGGTACAGCGAGAACTCTGAACAGTCCAGCCACTGCTCATGCATCGAGCGCTTCACCGACTTCGTGTCAAGTCCTACTCCAGTCATTCCGGTCCAACACGGCGAAAACGATACTGCGGGGCAGAGGAACCACTACAGATGCTGTGCTTGAGCCAGTCCAGAGCTTTCAAAATCTGCTTCTTCAGTCTCTGATCTTCCACTTGATGTGTCATATCTAGGAGACTGAGACTGATGGTTTGGTGCTCGTCGAGGCCAGTGCGCCAGCTTGTCGGATCTCGATGGCACCGCAGCGGCGCAGCATTCCCCAGCAAAAATCAAATCTTGAGAATTATGGTACTCTGATGGAGCCAAGCTCGGATCTCGATTCCTCTTGCTGCAAAAGCTTGCAAATTTTGCCCCAAGTTCTACACTGTATGTATGAGATAGGTGTTGGGCCTCTTGCCACCACCGCTGGCTGCATCGACCAGAAGTAGCTGCAGACCAACCTGGAAAGGACGAATTGATACCTCTGACCCCTCAGAGATCATCGCCTAGCATGCGTTCCCATGTTGCGGTGGAGTCGCCTAATCTCCGAACAAGTTATTAATTGGCAACGACCTACGCCAGCACTTCGATATGGGTCGCATTTTAAAGAGCCGCATCATGACTTGCATTTGTTCAACTCTTCGTCCTATCTCAACAGCGCCTGAAATTCTTTACGGGAATCCAATCCATAATCCTTGTCAGCCGCTAACCGTAGGCTCTGCAATAAATCACACATGTCTCGCCTTCGATGGACGAAATACCTGCACAAACCCCCCTAGACAACCACTCAACCTGTCAGCCTTACTCTTTCAACATCACGACGCTGGCCATACAACACCCTCCGCAGCTACATTCCATTGACGGCGTGCATTTTTCCCTGTATCCAGCGGGTTGGGCTCAATTGCATCTACAACATCGTAACATCTTGCGCACTCGGCTCATCGACATCCTGGTATCAGAAGAACCTTTCTCCCACACTAGCTCACCATAACCGAGATCTGTTCCTGCTCCAGGATCTTGTAAGACTGCGATCACCGTCAACTGAAAGTTACAATGGGTGGCTTCTATATGGCATACCTAGAGAGTAAGTCGATCCGCAACTTCGGGAATATTTCCCCGATTCTTTAGCTCTTGTCGTCCGATCCCCCTCTCGTTTCTCGTGTCTCCAAAATCCTGCTAGAAAGAGGCCCCATTCCAACCATCAGTCATGCTGGCCCTTTGAGCCACTCTGCTCTTAGGCTGGCGAGGTGGCCTCACTGCCCAATCTTGCAAGATGCCGGAATTTCTACCTGCCCATCGTCGTTCTACCTTTCCATACCTCTCCTTTCGGGACTACAACTCTGTACCACAAAATTCACCCCAATAGCCACCACTTACATGCCTTATAGGTCTGTGCCGTCGCCGCGGATGGCGTGATCCCCTGTACGAGACGTACAGGAGTTCAGCGGGTTTCACTTGCCTGGTCCTCGTGAATGGTCGAGAATACCAGACGGACCTGGCATACGAATCCGATGGGCTGGCTCAGGAGAATGCGGCAATGCGGGCATTCATGGTCTGCAGGAACTTCTCTGTGAACGGAGGTATGCTGGCTCGAAATGGTGTGGTCCAGGGGCTGCCTGCGAATGAAAGTAATGGCAGGCAGAGGAGAAGTCGGGGCGGTCGAAGTCATTCTGTCAACCTGAGCAGCAGCAGTTCCACAACGTCATCAGAGTAGAGGACTCAACTGATACGTCTTGCGGCAGCTAAGAAATAGCTTTCGAACACGCAGGCTGGATATCTCAGTCCCTGGTATCCTGACCAGGGCCAACCGATGAGCGCGACAAACGAAGCAACGAATCACGACCAACAAAAAAACGGCGACGACGCTCACAGAGATCTGCCTGTCGATTCTACTACTCGACTCTAATGACGACTAACGATGATGGCGAACGATTCTCTTTCTACATTTCGACTAAGATGTGCCAGCGGCATGGGAAAAACAGCACCTGTCGTAGGACACCCAGAGGCAACTCAATCACTGTCCTTACGGAGGCTTCTTACGTGGTTTATTGCGCTTGCAAACCTGGGGTGTTTGGGACAGCAATCGCGGCTGTAGGGGGACCTTTCATTGCTCGTATTTGACGCATTTAGCAAGCGTGGTGGTAACCAGCGTTGCTTTCATTTTCAGACGACTTCTCACGGGTTTCTTTTTCTCTGGAAGGCCTAAGGGGATTTGGGGTGGGTTTTTTCCATTCGGCAAGATGGATATGGCGAAGTTATGATGAACGAACGACATGACGAAAAAGCAAAATAACAGCATCTCTGAGGTGCCCCTGAGATACTTATTTCATATTCTTAAGATCCCTCTGATACATGTGTTCCCGTGCCCACTGTGATGTGCAATGGTTGTGTGAAGGTTTCCGGGGGGAGGCGAACCTGCCGCTGTATCCAATAGTGGCAATCTCCCAAGCTTACATCCACTTTCTCCATCAACGCTCGTGATGGAATCCTGAGAACGTACGCAAAGGTAAGATTTTCGTTCTAGCAGCAGTGTCATCGATGACCTGGGCACTCTCACCCACGCCACTGTCGAGAAGAAGAGGCCTGACAAACGTACTGGAACCAGTACTACTCGAACGTTCTGTATATGTTAGAAGCAATGGGAGTCGAGTGACATGGAGTGCCGTCTGTTGCTAGCCTCGACTGCCCCTTGGAATCTCTTCAATATCAAATCTCTCTCCAAAAAAAACAGGGACTACACTAAACATGGGGAAAACGCGACTCGTTACGCTCAATCGAGTCAAAATTTGAAGCCAGCCAAAGAGGGCTGACACAGTATACAGCGCAGCCTCGCCCGTGAAATTACCTAGCTCAGCTCCATTAATAAATCAGTATACCCTTCCATACCTCTTGCAGCTCCTTCAATTTAAAAGGGGGTTCTAATTGCGTAGTGGGCAATGCTAAGCGAGGTGTCTGGAACGGCCTCTGAGACCAAGTGTCCTCCTCTCCATTCTTTTTCTCAACCATTCGACACTTTTACTTCAGCACTATCACCACCGCATACCTGTTCTACACTCGACGCCATTCAGGTAGCAACTATTCACTGGATTGCATCTGCGGGAGAACCACTTGTGGTCAAAGCCGGTCGATCCTTGTCGCGCAATAAACTTTCAACGTCTAAGCTCGACTGACTGGGGTACTGCTTTCTTGCCCTTTGGAATCACCCACACCATACATCTGCGCGACCACAACCTCCACTTCACAAAACTTACTCACTCACGATGAAGGGTAAGTGTCGCAGGAGGATCTCTCCAATCTGGAACAATTACTAATTCCTCTGTGAAGCTCTTATCCTTGTCGGTGGCTTTGGCACCCGTCTGCGCCCTCTCGTACGTTCCTCCCGACATCAATCTCAATTGTTGAGACCTCGAGTCCAACATCCTCTCCGCAGACTTCAGAAATCCTATCATACCTCCAACTGTTGACGGAAATGTAGACCCTTACTCTCCCTAAGCCTTTGGTCGAGTTTGGCAACAAGCCCATGATCCTGCATCAAGTTGAAGCTCTAGCAGCTGCTGGTGTCACAGATATCGTACTTGCTGTCAATTACCGTCCAGAGGTAATGGAGAAGCACTTGGCAGAAGTGAGTAACGCAATATTACCCTGTATAAATCGCACTTACTGATGGTTTGCGCCGATAGTACGAGGCGAAGTTCAACGTCAAAATCACTTTCTCTATCGAGTCGGAACCCCTTGGTACTGCTGGCCCCCTCAAGCTCGCAGAAGCAATCCTCGGAAAGGACGACGCTCCCTTCTTCGTCCTCAACTCCGACGTTATCTGCGACTACCCTTTCGCGAATCTCGCTGCTTTCCATAAGGCTCATGGAGATGAAGGCACGATTGTAGTCACTAAGGTCGACGAGCCCTCAAAATACGGTGTTGTCGTCCACAAGCCCAACCACGCCTCGCGGATTGACCGATTCGTCGAGAAGCCAGTCGAGTTCGTGGGCAACCGCATCAACGCTGGTATCTACATCTTGAATCCAAGTGTCCTCAAGCGCATCGACCTGCGCCCTACATCCATCGAGCAAGAGACCTTCCCAGCCATCTGCAGCGACGGACAACTGCACTCGTTCGACTTGGAGGGCTTCTGGATGGACGTTGGACAACCTAAGGATTTCCTCTCAGGGACCTGCCTCTACCTTACTTCTCTCACTAAGAAGGGTTCTAAGCTCCTTGCCCCCTCTTCCCTTCCTTACGTCCACGGCGGTAACGTCCTGATCGACCCCTCCGCAAAGATCGGCAAGAACTGCAGGATCGGCCCCAACGTCACAATTGGGCCAGATGCCGTTATCGGTGATGGTGTCCGTCTACAACGCTGCGTTATCCTTGCCGGATCCAAGATCAAGGATCACGCTTGGGTCAAGAGCACCATTGTCGGCTGGAACTCCACCGTAGGCAAGTGGGCGCGCTTGGAGAACGTCAGTGTCCTCGGAGACGATGTCACCATCGGCGATGAGATCTACGTTAACGGAGGAAGTATTCTGCCTCACAAGAGCATCAAAGTCAACGTTGATGTGCCCGCAATCATCATGTAACAACACCCACATCACAAGATAAATATTGTGAACTTTCAGTATCCGGGCAGGAATCTATCAAGATCATTCCGGCTTTTCAATCAGCCTTTTGGTATGACACCTTTGTTTTTGTGTACTGCCAGGCATTGTACAACAGTTGATTATTCTCCCCTCCTCTTTATTTCATTTCATTGGACGCAAGAAGTGAGAACGCAGTCAGTTCTTGATGGGATATATTTGATATGGTTTTGATTGCATGCGCTGGCGTCTAGTGGCTGTTGCACGCAAAATTTATCCTAGAACGCAGAGAAAAGGGTACGGGATAAAGCTTTTTGCTTGAGAAGGGGAATTGGCTTCTTCAGCGGGAAACTGGGCTCGGGCTTTTTCATGGCCGGCGATGATTGGGATGTGTCGTTGACGCATAGTAATCCTAGATAGTTGATCATTTGAAAAAATGCTTTGCTTCTCATTCGATACGGCTTTTGGGGAATCGGGAAGGTCAGCGGTGTTCAAGTGACCAAGGCCTTCGGGTGAGAGAAGAGTGTGCGAGGGAAAGATGGGTAGTGTCTAGCCTTTGCAGCTAATTTTTTGAAAGTTAAAACCCATCAAGGTGTTCGTCGTCGTCGTCGTCCTCTTGGCATCTCGCTATCTTCCATCTGTATATCCTCTTGGCTGATGACATACTCTGCTACTTACAAAATTGACAGATCCGAGGGTTAAGATTTCGGGCATTTCGGCAAGCAAAACCGGATTCCTGGTCACAGTAAGCTTTTGCCCTGCATGAAATGATGAAGAACCGATCGATCACGCTTAAGCCTCGACTTCGAAACGCTACAGTCTCGGCATAGAAGCCACACGAAGTAGAGCCAAAGGGTAAGCTTCAGCCGGAATGTCCTGTCACTCCTGGGAAGATAGGTAACGTAAAAAAAAAAAAAAAAAAAAAACCCCGAAATTTGATGAATCTTGGCTCCCGTCTCAGCCCGGGAGCCTCTCTCTCTCTCTCGTTGAAAGCGAGGCAAGCGGTGTCTCCTCGCCTACGAGATGATGGAGCCGCTAAGGGAAATCCTCTACTCCGTACGGAGACTGGAAAGAAATCACGTCTTGACCGGATCTTTCGGAGTACAGTACTTGCTTACTTGCTCGGTCGTACGCACTTCTGCTTCTGCTTCTCAAGGATACAGATTTTCTGTATTCTTGGCACGAGCACGAGCAAGAGCACGGTCCGGTATTTGATCAATTGGGTCGGGCCCACAAGGGCTCTACTCACTTGAGGGCTCTTTGCAAGTGAGAAGGGCTCGACGCCATTCTACGGAGTGTCTTTCACCCTTTTTTTTTTTTTTTCCCGCAAGGATTCGCACTGCGTTCTCGTATCTGTTCTTTATTACTTCTTAGTCGTATGTCGTCGTTTTCGTCCCATTGAAAGGCTACCTAGGCCCCTGGAGTCAGGGCATCTAGGTACGGTAGCCCTGACTGTCACAAACTTCTCTGCTGCTTATTAATGGAATTCTCACAGTTGGCGAGTCTTTTGAGAAAATGAGATGATGTGTAAGTCTTGGTTCTATGTTTCTACGCTTTACTTTCTGTTTCAAGGCTTGGTCTGCACTTTCATTCTTGGATTCTTCCGTGAAGGCTCTAGGTATCCCTTTTTTTTGTTCCACTTTTTCTTCTCAATCTCCGGCTTCCCCCTTTTCTTTCTTCGTATGTTATCTATGATCTCGCTTTAAAACTTGGAGGAAAACTAAACGACAGTAACTGTGCTGTAGTTTTACTGTCTCTGGCTGTGTTGGTGTACAGATAGTTTATTCGATTCTATCCTTGATTGCCATGTCTATCCCTCATCCTCTTCGTGCGTACAACGCATCAGGTCTGTCGTCTCTGGAAAGCAGCAGCTCAGTCGGGCCACCAGGTCCTTTCCACAACCCGTTCCCGGCTCGGCGAGCAAGAAGCGAAGAGTTTGTCAAAGGGCTGAATATACCAATACCTTAGTCTTCGCAGACTTCAAATCTCTTCGAAACTCCTCGAGGGAGCCCTAGGCCTTGTCGATCGATACTTACACTGTTTCGCGATATCAGAAAGGAAAGCAAGATTTTCTCTGATACGTCAGCATACCCTTTGGAAAAGAACCTCGCAGACCCCCCGTCTCGTGTTTTTCACAATTGCGAGGAAGAAACAGCTTTGTCTATAATGTATCTCATGCTGGACTGTTCCCGCCACTCTCCAGAAATACTTACTTTCCAGCATTGAAAGAGATGGCTACTGTTAGTCCTTCACGCCTTTTGAGAGTAGCTTTTGTAACACAGCCCTAGGATCTCAAGGTTAGCTTGTCGCTTTTCAGTCTTACAGTTGCTGTGTACATGATGGGCCAGTCTATGGGCCCAGTATTCGGGGGTATCATCTCATAATACCTCGGATACCACGCTATTTCTAAGTTTCTCTCCGGCCTGGGAGCTTTTACCCTCCTGCTCATTGTGGCTCTCCTCCCGAGACTCTACGCAGAATCACAGGAAAACGGCACACTCCGCCTCAGTTCTATCCACAGACCCGTCATATACAGTTACAAGGAGCCTTATCCCTCAGAAAAGTTTCGAGATGTACCGGCTTGCAAGAATGTCACTGCCTCGAGCATCGTGGCACCCCTTAAATTACTCTTCGCAAAGGACGTCGTCTTTGTCACCGTGTTAGTCGGTTCCACTGTTTATACCGTGTGGATCTGACGTCCAGCACGACAGCCCTGTTCCGACTCGCTTCAAACCTCAGCGTCACACAGGTCGGACTCATTTTCCTCCTCAATGGCGCTGGCTGCGTTGCAGGCCCCTACCTCACCGGCTACCTCACGGACTACGACTATGAGAAAGTGGAAGCGCAATACCGCAACGAGCATGATATCAATGCTGACGCACCCCTCAACAAGAAAGAACTCGTCGTCGACTCTGCTGTCGAGAAGTCTAGGCTGATGAAACATCTGGTGGATCATCCTCCTCTTCATCGCCGCCACTGCGTCCTGCGGGTATTAGCTACAGCTGAAAATCATCGCCGTCCCAGCTCTCAGCCTCCAGTTCTTCATCGCGTATACAGCGACCGCTGGGTTTTCGCTGAACAGCGAGCGGACTGGCCGTTGATCTCTTTCCCGGGGCTTCGGCCTCGGCTACTACGGTTGACAAGTTGATGCGCTGTTCCGTCGGTGCTGCGGGCGTTGCTTTTGTGCAGAGCATCATTGATGGGATGCCGAGGGCGCGACCCCTTGTGATGTTTGTGGGTAACCGTACCACTGCGGCTCTGAGCCCACTTCTTGTGGTAGAATGGTTGTTATTGTTGTTGCATTTATTAACGTCTGGCGGACTATAAGCGTAGCATGCACTCTTCTTCTTCTTCGGACCTCTTAAGGGGTACGGAGACGTGCAAAGCTAAGGGCTTATATATAATCCGATATTTCAATCTTTTAAGCGCTAAACTCTTGCGCAGCCATAATCTTCTTTTAAGTCGACCTGATACCACCTTATAGTACCCCAAACTGCAATTCAAAAGAGTGTCGAAACGAGTATGTACTTTTTTCTTTTACGGGCGGGATAGAAAATACGAAAAAAAACCCCCCCCTTAGTCAAAGTCCAAGCCCCGATATTTTTTTCTCAACTCTAACAAAGCTCGGCGGAGCTTTCTTTCGATAAGTCCGATAAAAATGTCGAGCCTTTTATCCGATCAAGTCGAGCAACAATTTGCTCGGTGGAGCTTTAACGCGTATATAAATCCGAAAATCCCTAAAAAATACCCTTTCGACGAGCTCTCCTTATCTCAATTCCTTTTTTTTCTTCGCTCTATCGTCGTCGAAATCGCGAGATAAAAGGTCACTTCTTTTATCACACTCGCGGATCCAAAGCCCTTTTAAAGAGTCTGGGCTGCGTATTTTATCTTTCTTCGTAGTGTCGTACCGGTCCGAGTATATATATTTCCGTAGTAGTCGTTTGAAAGACCTAGCTAGCAAAGGAAGCGACGCGTAAGCTGGCCAACTATATAGTATCGAGGTAGAACGTGTACAGCATAGCCGTACGCTGTGGTGTCTTTTGATCCGATGGCCGAGTAGCGCGAGTTCTATCCGCACACGTGACAGTTGGCTTTTGAAGAACCCTCTGACAAATTGCGGAAGACGTTTCACTGCAACAGTTTATCGTGCGGTAAATAGGGTTATAATACTTGAAACTGCAACATGCATTACAGGTCTGCTTTTGCATAATGGTTAAGAGCTCAATGCGCTTTCATGAGCTAGTCGTTTAATATTGGACCAGCTCCAAATCGACTTGGAGGCGGATTCCGCAAGTGTCATCGTTTTTACGTCAGAATTCTGCATTTCGGGACATTCCGCAGGACCGTCAATGACTCTAAACCTCGCCTTGGAAAGTCTCACCAACATAAAAGAAACTACCTAAGAGCTACTCAAGGTCGGACAAGTGATCCTTGAGGGAAGGAGCGAATTCCTCGAATGGATTACCGGCTCCACCAACCTGGTCAAATCCCTGAAGATGGAGAAGTACGCTATGCCACGGACCAGCCTAAAAGAAGAGATCAAAGAGTATCATATATTCTCCAAGGCGGAGTACGACGCATCCATAGCTGAGTAGAAAGTCACTAGCGCCAAATACAATCAAATCAAGAGCTGGATCAGACAAACAATTAAGAGCTCTATTCTCTAAGAAGCTATCCTCACCGCTACCGAGAAAAACAATACCTCTGTCGGTTCATCAATATCGACCGGTACCGGTCAGTGTGAGTGGAGGTCAGCCAGGGTCGGAATGTACCTGGCTCGCTTAGCGAGCCAAGGTTCTAAAGACCCCAACTTGAGCGTAAACGTTATTATACGATTAGCTGGCTGCACCTCTTCTAACTAGATAAATAGAGCTCGATTCCCTGATTCTTAGGGAGTAGACAGAAATCAGATACCATTTCTTACCCGAAGAGTTGCAATTGCAAGAGACTACGTGCGTTGCACGCTAGTAATGAGAACGTTCGCTACCGGCGAACCAACACTGATCAGTGATTGACTACGCCGTTAAGCACAGAGAAGCTAGGTTCGACTCGATGATTTGGGGCTCTACCAATGCCTATTCATTTAGTGTGAAGGTGGTGAGTTTGTGTCGGAATACGAGAGGCCATTATGGCCATGATGAAAGTGGAAGGTACGAGAAGCTCTAGGCTTGGCAATGGCACGTAAGGGTGGCACGTGCACCCGCGATTCCCTTAAAGGGCCGCCACAACCTTCCTTAGCAATACTAGACATTACCAACACAACCACCCAACCAATTGATACGAGATTAGTCCTACCATCAAACCAATACCTATATTACCAACAGTTCGCACTATAAAAAGCCTGCAACAGCAAGGAGCCCATAATATACACCGCCATTTTACACTCCTAGGGGACTCCGACACACAAGTCTTCCACCAATATTAGAGAGTCATTCCAATTCCATACACCGTATACAGCATAGAAGATCACATAGCCTAGGAGCAACCAGACCTTAAAGCGGAGACGACAACCGATAAGGAGATCATACCCCCAGGATCTCAACAGCACCTGCGGAACCTCCGCCAGTTCCACCGAAAGGACTATTGAAGCCAGGGCCATAGGCGCCGTCTGAAGTATCAGAAGAAGAGATGGCGGGTCTGTCTTTTGACCTAGATGACCTACCATATGCAAGGCCCGATAGCCATGCAGCGGCAAGAATGACTGTCGACGACTTCCTGGAAAACAAAAGTGAGGGACTGAGGGACCATGAGCTATGGCTCCAGTTCCGAAATGCTTTGTCCAGATGGGACGCAGATGACTCCTGCCTAGCAGTCACTCAAGGTAAAAGAGGAGGCAAGTTGAACATACTCATTAAACTAAGGGAACACCTGATGTCTAAGGGAGTATAGTGCCCAGCAAGGCAAAGAGGCTACGCAAAGGGACTAGTCATGGTCGTGCGGGATGATACAGAGCACTAGTAGAGCTACGAGCAGCAGGAGCCCCAAGAGGCAAGCAAAGAGGGGTTTGGATCCATGTGGAACGACGTCAATATTGCTATGCACAACCGAAAAATCGAGGAAATAGGCATCATTCAAGGGAAAGACGTGGAGACCGGGGCGCTATGCCAATCGATTGCGAGTTGCTGTCCACCGAGGGGCAAGGACCACCAAAGGAGAAGACCGATTTGGTTTGCCCGAAGACCGACACAGTTAGCTAAGCATAAGGCCTATCGTACGAAAGCGAGAGGGTTACTTATGTATTTGGTATTGAGAATGGATGAGTGGAAGAAGAAGTTGTTGTTGACGTTGTACGGAGATGGAAAGTAAAAGCTAAAAGGCGAAGGGAGGCACCCTTTTATCGACTCGTGTCGACGCGCCTCGAAACGCGTAGTGAATAATCGAATGACTGTTTACGGATAAACCTCGAGGTTTTCACTTTCTTTCTTCTTATGTTTCGAAGACGTTTGCAGCGATCACTTTTACTCACTCGATCTTTACTGTTTCTATACACGGTTCTTTAAAAGTGGAGTTTCACTTTTCAGAGTTTTCCTACTTTCCTTTTGTCGCAAATGCGGAGGGCTATTTACTATCGATTATTCTGTCTGCAAATGATAGCTGCTCGTACGAAAAAAGAAGAATTACTTATATTAGAGCAGGCATCTCTGAACCGCTTACCGGTTTACGAGATCATACGCCCGAAATTTAGCCGAGCATACTTTTTCCTATGAATTTTAATCTATCTTGAATACCGGTAGATTTTTGTTAAATTCAAAATCATTAAGTACAAAATACTAAGAGATGAATGTATACGTCATTTCGCTACATTGAATAAGCGGTGAACTGTACGGACAGAACCTTGTAACCTCTTACCCCGGTTTACGGAGTAAGAAGATCAACGCTGGCCGCACGAGTACCCTGGACCTCGAAGAAAGTAAATAGAGGAGAGGTTGATACTGACCCGAGAAACCGCGTCTCTCCCTTCAGAGCTCGTAACCCCGTCTACACAATCCTCAATCCATTCCCACAACTCCATCTAGAATGGGACTGCCACCATGGGAGACGAGCGACGACCAGCTCTTTGCATTGGTCACTGGCGCGAACAGGTATGCGCATGAATGCCCCTCGATGCAGGCGGCCGTCCCCAATTCTTGCTCCCAGTATCGGAGGGGGGGTGAGAGTGGGCTCCCTTCAATGCGCGCCGCAATACACATATCCAAGGAGCTGGGCTAAAATCCTCCTGCTGGCAGCGGTCTAGGTTTCGCAATCGCATCCCGCCTCATCGATGAGTTCTTCACCTCGCCCTCCACCACCCCCAATCGACATCTCATCCTCATACTATGTACGCGCTCGCCCATGAAGACACGCTACACCATCTCCCGACTCCGCGCACACCTGAGAATACTCGTCGACCATTCCCAATGGGCGAAGCAGCAGCGGGCGAAAGCTGCAGAGCAAGGCGGCGAGTACAGGTGGGAGGAGACGGTGCAGAGAGTGCATTTCCTCGGCGTCGAGGTCGACCTCTGCGATCTGCGCAGCGTATACAGACTGGCGGATAAGCTGGTCAATGGCACCGTGGGCAGCCCGGATGCGACCTTGATGGATGGCGGCAAGCTCCCGCACGGGTCCCCTGGAACGGCGAGCTACGACCCCGATATGAAGCAAGATAGATGGGCGTTGAGTCAGGAACCCGGATCAATCGGCGCTCAGAGATCTTGGGGATGGGGGTTAAGCGGGCTGCGGATACCTAGATTGGATGCCGTAATCCTGAGTGCTGGAATCGGTGGTTGGGTAGGTCTGAACTGGCCACTGGCCGTGAGGACGGTCATGTTCGATACCGTAGAGGCGGTGACTTGGCCGAGATATAAGGTGTCGAGTCTCGGGTCTTTGGTGAAGAACCCGACTGGGGTAAAGGATGAGGCAAGCCAACCTCTGCTCGAGAACCAAGAGAAACCAGACGAGCCACCCTTGGGCGAGGTCTTCTGCGCGAATGTGTTTGGTCATTATATACTTGCCCACGAGCTGATGCCACTGCTATCCCGCACGGCGACTCCTTCATCTACTACTTCTGGGAAGATAATATGGGTAAGCAGCATCGAAGCCGTCGACGACAAGTTCTCAGTCGACGACATCCAAGGCCTGGAATCTTCAGCTCCCTACGAAGCCTCGAAACGACTTATGGACCTTCTCGCCCTGACTTCAAGTTTGCCTTCAGTCCAACGACTAGCCGGCTCTTACTTTGACAGTTCGAATACGACGACGGCAAAGAAGGGAACAGCAGAGGAGTCGGGAGCCCTGATCCAACCTCAAATATACCTCACCCACCCAGGAATCTTCGCCTCGGAGATCATGCCCCTCCCTTCGCTCTTGGTCTTAATCTACAAACTCGTCTTCCTGTTCGCGAGGTGGATCGGCAGCCCTTGGCACCTCATCGAGCCCTACAAAGCCGCCGTGGCGCCCGTCTGGCTCTCGCTTACCCACGTCGAGGAGTTGAATGATGCAGAGGGAAATGGTCTGAAGAAGGCGAAGTGGGGATCTGCAACCGACACGGGTGGCGGGGAACGGGTGATGAAGACTGAAGTTCCGGGCTGGGGATGGAATGGGGACGTGGAGGATACCGCTGAGATTCAGAAGCGCAAGGGGAGGAAGAGGGATGCTGTTGACCTGACGAAGGAGAGGAGGGAGGAGTTTGAGGTGCTGGGTGGGAAGTGTTGGGCGCAGATGGAGGAGCTGAGGAAGGAATGGGAGGGCATTCTAGGGGTAAATGATAACAAGTAGCGGTGACATGTGTTGTGCGGGTGGCTATCAATCTCTGGTATAGTAGCGATGTACGCATTAGTATTGAAGGACGCCGACTCTCTGATGCGATGAAACTTTTATTCCACCCGTGGCTCTCTTGATGGAAATTCGTACCCGGCAAAACCCCATACTCAAGGACCAGTAGCCGAAGAAAGAGAAGTATTTGGGCTTGTACAATCATGTTAGGGCCTCAATGGACAGATCGCAAGCAAGCAAAAGTTTCGCAAGTTGACCGTTTCTCTCAGCCCAAGCTTGATAAACAACGAACTCAACTAAAGTCTATATATAGCTCGAGCACGGAAAAGCAACAATAAGCAACCAAGAAATGCTTTGAATCTGCTAATCTATTTGAATTTCGATGTCTGCCTTGCAATAGCTACTCATACTCATAATTTGAAGCCACAGATGCTGCCTCTCTAGCATTTCATTCTAAGTAGTAGCCCCTCAAGTACGATGCGGGCAGCTGCCTGTATCTCAAGCTCACGAGGTCCCAGCACCGCTTCACAGCGAGGGGCTAACGACGAATTCCCAAACTTCCTCCACAATGATCTTCCGAGGGGGGGTGGTCCAGTCTACCCCTCGCTGATCGTCCACTTCTCCTTTCATGCTCGGGGTGATTCTCGCTCTCTTCCCAGCTGGGGAATCCTCTGGCTGCTGTTCTCTCTCTCTCTTGACGCTGCTCTGCTTCTGTTCAACTTCCAATTTCGCTTCTTTCAGATTGCTGTCGAAATTGGCCCTACGCCTCCAAAAATCATCAACGTCGAAAGACTCACGGCCATGGCTAGGCTTGCCCGTGGTGATCTAGGGCGAAGGAATCAGCAGACGGACCAAAATTATCATGACTGAAAAGAAATACCTCTGCAAGAGCTGTCCTCAGCCTTCTATTTCGGATCCTTTCGGTGTAGATCTCAGGATCTGGATCCCACTTCGCGAAGATATTCTGACACTTCACGATCCAACCCTTTTCAATTTGGTCGCGGACAAGACGACCGTTTTTACTCTCCTCGCATTGCTTGATGTATTCTCTGTACGTCAAGTTGAATGGACTTGGAGAACTAAGAGCAGAATTTCTGTCTGCAATGCGTAAGATAGACTCGCGCGAATCCTCTCCCTGCTCGAGAATTTTCCACCACTTCACGGGCCACAAATTCTGCTGTTTCTCTATATCTCTCTCCTCCTTCCTCTTATCTTGCGGGCTGTTTGCAGGAGACTCGGTAGTGGCTGGCTGAGTGGTGACAAGCTTAGGCTTCAGCTCCATCTCGAGAATCCGCTCTGATCGTCTCGGAGATGATCTCGTATGGATGTCGAGGCTAGAGAGTTGAATTTCATCATCTCCGGTCTTCTTGTAAACTTTTCGATCTTGTCATTCCCCATCCAACTGAAGGTGGTTCAATTTACAAAATAGTTGCGTCAGCTCGCCTCACGTTGGCTCGGCCCAAGTCACTACTTACCAGCGGCCTCTGAGTTCTTGTCTGGGGTGGACATGGCTCCGAGGTCGCAAAGGCCTTCTAAACCGAAGAGTAAGCGCAACGACGATCGGGGTATGCGATGCTGACGCAATGTTGTTGTGGTGGAGGAGGAGGAAGAGAGGGAGGAGAGAGGGAGGGACCACGGAAATCAGGTAGAAACATAGTTCTCACTAGTCACTAGCGTGGGAGCTGGCTGGAGGAAGGTATGGAAAATTGTCGGAAAAGGCAGGAGCCCTCTGCAAGCTGCCGTACCAGCAAGGCGTGTACAGTAGCATAACTAGGACCGATTTTCAATTATTTCGAAACACTATATCGCTTACGGATGCCTTTTTCGCGATTCTCACCTTCCCTCAAGGCTCAGGGGCTCGCTTAGTGTTGTGAGTGAGGTCGTTCGTGCAGGTCAGGAACCTTGTACACCCGTCCTGGCCCTAGCCCGATTTGAGCTCCCAACCGCACCGCTAATGAATCCTCAAGAGCTAGTTTGGAGGCGGAAAGGTGCTGTGCGGTGGCAGCTGAATAGTCTGGTTTCTGTGTTTAGAGGACTGGACCGGGAACATATCATTGCCAGCCGGTGGCGAGGGCATCTCCTCGTCAGTTTCCTTGGTCTCACTAGGTTGAAAAGAGCACCAGCTGATCATAGGATAGGCCCCCTTTAAACTATGTAGAATGACCTGGTCTGCCTTGATGTGAGACGGGCGATAGCTGACCGCCGGGTATATTCTGGGAAGCGGGTTCTCTATCACCTGTAGCAGAAAGTGGTAGTGTGTAGCTTAGTGAGCTCAGATATCCCTTGAACGAAGGCAAATTACCTAAAGAATGAGGAGTATAGATTATGGCATAGGAAATCTTGGAACCGGGAGATAACCTGAAGCTGGATGTTTCAATATGCACGAGTCCGATATAGGTGTGGACTAGTTTGATATCATGTCATACCTGGTGAAGTTTGGGATGACTATATTTCTCTCCGGAGTGATTTAATATCAGAGAATGTCTATAGTCTTCCTGGAGAGCCCGGCTACGCTTGGGGATTTGACACGGGAGTATTTGAGCAATGTTGGGGGGGGCTTTGGTAGGGTTCACTCAGCCTGAATGAAGATTAGATTATATTCTGGACCGAGGGTTGAATATCTACTTGTGGACTTCCCCGCCAGCGACCTCGTGCAACATCTGCTTTCAAACGCGGCCACCGATATGATCATTGGGCGTGATACAGGTGACTAGTCTCTACGCATGTCCTAGTAACGGCCGAGTCGTGCGCAAGAACAAAAACACGCATTGCCAGCCAATCAGTGCCATAATTTCTTCAACCACTGATCCTCTGCTCTATGTGAATATGCTAGCTACCAACTTCGACCGAGCCGGGTCAAGTAAATTGTAAATTTTATTGACTACTGACCTTGTCCCAATATTTTATGACAGCACACTTAGCTCTACTATTGCCAAAATGTGCTCACCACAAGTATCGTTCATAGGATTGAGACTTCAACGATCTCTTAGAGACTGACCATCTATCGACAATCCTGCACGCGATTTCTAGATGTTGTGCCGGATTTAAGGGCTGCATGCACTTACTTATGCGACGGAGGACAAGCAAATAAGAACTCTTCAAGGCATATGAATATACCTCCCCTGATTCTACGTTCTTGAATCGCTTTATAAGATGTGCTCTAAGCCTTTACCAATCAGAGAGAATGAGTAAACAAATCGCTATGATGATTCATATTCGAAAGCTCACCTCAGGACCGCACTTATACGAGACGTGTTTTAGCAGGACGCTATTTTCAACTACCCTTCTCATCTATACGATCGCATGCTATTTTATGCGATATAGGCATATATGACTGAAGTGACGTCCAATAAGCGTCTATGAGGCTTACTCAGCGTCTTCGGGCAAACGGCAAGCAAGTCACGCCAACTATTAGGAAGTTGTCCGGGGTTGTTGTAATGATTGCTTTAATTGCTATAATCCGGAAATTAAAAGAAGTTCAAGAAGACGTTGCGGAGCACGAAGCGGCAATCTTTACCGTGTCTTCTAGATAGTATCCGTATATCCGGCCATGCTATAATAAACCGACTATATGGCCGCTAATTAAATTGAACAATCAAGGCCACTTGACTGCCATCAAGTACGGTACCTTAAAAGTTCATTGGATCGGAAAGGAATGGTCTTTTGGTATTTGCAGCGGCGTTAATAACCAAAATTTCAGAACGACTGAGTGTCCAGGGAAAAATTAACAGCTTTTCTTCTCGTTATTTGATGCTCGTTATTCATATGACCGGAATAATATTAAGCCGGAATCGAACAATTTCACGAACCAATTGAAAGCTTCCAAAGTGATTAGCAAGCACAGGAATTATAATTAGCGTTTGAATTATTGAATATAAATGACTTGAATCTATTAATAGTCAGTGCACTGCCTGTTTACCTGCGGGCCCTCGAGCACTGACTACTATATGTAGCAGACGACTGATATATTTGTCTAGCATTAATATCACTTCGTATTACTTTCTTTGCTTGTATAATCATAGAATAGCTATTTTGAGTTTTTTCTTGCTGCTACGTACAGCATGACGAGGCACTTCCCTGATCAGGCACATTATTAGCGAATCCTTCCGTTATTGATAAATGAGCAACTGGCTCGTCAATAACGCATTAAAACCTTAGATCTTAACCCTTTGCTAGAGAGGACTTGTACATACAGGCGTGCTCCTTGTATACGCTGACCGACAGTAATTACCGTCGATCCTTGCAAATTAGGATGGAATATTGCAATACTATAAATAATTAGCTAAGCCAGAATTTGCTATTATATCCAGAATAATCGCCGATGTAGAAATTCCGAATACGAATCAAGAAAGAGGTATATATTTCTTCTTGCACTAGCTTCAGGTTTAGTTCGTCATCCTCTTTCTTTTGCAAGTAGCAAGCTTGTTCCTTCTCATCAGCTCGCATCATTAGAATACTTACACAAACACGATGCTACAATCGAAGTCTTTCTTCCCGATCTTGCTAGCCTTGAGCTTTCTCTTTGATGGAGCTTTTGGACTTGAATCATGTCTTTTACCCTTTTGGAGTTGCGGAATCAAAAGAACCCAAGTCATCGGCTACGCAAAGCTTCCCGGAGTAAGTTTCACTTGATTCATATAATTTAAGCTTACACTCACTGATCACGCACATTATAGGAAAAGGCTATGCCTATCATTCTGAATAACAAGCTACGTGTAGAGAAATCCACGGTCACTAAGCAAGTAGGACCTGGCTTTTATATGCGTGAGTTGATCTATATCGATCGTTACCTATTACGCGGAGCTAACAATCTAAATAGTAAACCAACCAGTATGGGAAGAAGACGATGATGGGAGTTGGTATTGTCTTATCAAAGCGAATATGGATAAGGTGAAAAAAGCAGATAAAGTCTGGATCCCGACACATTACAAGAAGACGAATGCGGATGGCTCGACTGTGGATCAGGCATTATGGGACCAAGAAGACCTCGACAATCTTTATGATTTCATCTCGTATGAGGCATTCATACCAGAGGCTAACAAAGCGCTGCTCTTCTCATGGGTCCATGAAGAAGGCTATTGGCATGAACAAATGACTATTCCAACCGACGTGGTAAATAACGATAGTTTGGGTATATGGGCCACATGCTTTCCATCAATACACGACCTGAAGAAAACTTCGAACAAGGCGGTTAATTGGCAAAAGTGGGATATTACGACTGCTGGAGTGTAGATATGATAATACTGGGGGATATAATCGTCGGTTTCGCGTCCCCTTATAAACGCCCTATACCACCTACAACCCTACATCTGGGGAGTTGATGCATTATGATTATCGTTTAGATTATGTTTATTGTTTAGATTATATTTATTGTTTAGATTATATTTATCAATTAAATTAGATTTGTCGCTTATATACAGTGCCACGCAACTGCTGTTAGCCGAATAGCATAAGACAGCGATTTTTCGCGATGAGCGTTTTTTATCCTTTTATAATAACTATAAAAATGCGATCTTAACGCATTCTTCTCGCTGCGACTTCGAATAATCGACTTATTTGGATTTTTTTTCTATATTAGTAATGACTGATTATACATAAACAGCTTTGCTTTCGGTGCAATTTCGATCGTTCTCGCGAAGGCTTTTAGATTGCTTTATGGCACGATCAATTATATTCGAAGGTGTCCGAAGGTAGCTTGAAGACAGGCAAAGATAGAATGATAGGAGTGTAGAAGTATGTATTGATAGTGAACTGATATCTGGGGCTTTTTTAAGGAGCACCCGCGACGTATATATAAGTCTCGATACTATTAAGTGGACTCCTTCAGAGTTCTGGATACGAGGCGAGATTATGATACGCGTTATCCTAATTTCTGATATGTCAGATCCTCATCTTTAATTATAGGCATAGCGAGGGCTTTCCGGTAGTTAGAAGGATGCTGAGCATCCGAGTAGAGTATTCCTGTAAGGTATTACTGTCACGCATTAAAGAAAGCTAGAAGTATTGGGCAACTTAAATGAACTTGTTATGAGGAACCAATAGCTGAATAGCTTTAACATTGGGCTAAACGGGCCAAGTTATCTAAGAATGCTTCCTAGTCAACTATTCCACTATATATAGAAAGCTACCTGTCAGCTCACTTCACTAAGAGTGTGTAGGTATGGCTCGCAGCTGCACGTTTCAAAGCTTATATGGCTCGCAACTAGCAAATTGAATAGCAATTTGCAACTTAGGACTTACGTAGTAGGAAATAAATTCGATTTATCATTACAAATACTTATTTATTTTTCGTAATAAACTCAAGAACAATAACTCCACCTCATCATATCGGTCCTTCTAAACTCGAGGTTTCTTATTATGGAGGCTCTTCCTGACTCTTGGCAGGGGCACAACGGCCTACTCACTAACTTAGGCATCAATTTAGGCGAGGGCTATTAAGACGTGTCCATATAACGACATTTCGTTCAGCGATGGCCACTCGCGCAAGCAGCTACTACGTCCCAGGCGTAAGTATTACCCCTCGAGGGTAGGGTAACCAAGGGGTTTAAAGTGGAAACTAAACTTTTGAGGCACCCTCGAGGGCTAATACTTAGGCCTGTACCGTGGTAATTGTTGTTCGATACGTACTCCCCCCCCATGAATACATGTCGGACCCATTTTAGGCCCATGAATCATAGAGCGGTGGTTTCTTAATAGCTCAAAGCCCTGTCAACTCCACTGTATAGACTAAATACTGGCTCAAAGATACTTTTCAAGGCTGAATCCTTATATTACGTAAGTTGATTGGTTTAAGCCCTGGTGAGATCCCTTGCGAAATTATTATTTCGATATGTATTCATAGGGGGGAGGGTACAGTAGTTTACAGTAGTAGTAGTAGTAGTAGTAGTAGTATAGAAGTATGCCGGATAGAATTTAAAGCTTGTATCGCGGCCAAAAGCTAGCACACTAAGTATTAAGGTCCGTGAGCATTCGAATCATTAAGCAAAGTATGGAAAAAAAAAAAAAAAAAAGAAAGAGAGAGAGAGGGATGTAAGAAATTGAATGATATTATTTTTATTTGATTTGCAGTTGTATTAATCACGCGATTGAGACATAGCTGGATATTTAAAATTGATTTTGATATTCTCGCCTAAGTGGCCAACAGCAGTTGCCTAGTACTGTAGGCCTATCATCGTCGTTCGACACGCCCCTTTGAAAAATAATAAAGTCATTATAATAAGTCTCACAACCGAGCTCATGATTGGAAAGATGACGGTAACAGAACGGCGCAATACTAAAGGAGGCATCGCGATATCCAACGTGCCAGAACCGTCAAGCTTCCTTTCGGCAGGGCGGAGAAAGAGGGAAAGTGGCATTATATCTTCAGCTGCGAGTAATAAAGCCTTGATGTAGTTGAAAATCATCTTACCACAGTTTTTTATTTTTGTAAGGTTGCTACTGATCGACTCTGAGCTCACCGATAAAAGACGCACTCCAGCCGAAGTCGTTATATATGCGGCGCAAACGGCTTTTTCGAAAGGATCGTAAAGCAAAGATAAATTCGATCCATTTCTGCAGACGCGGTTCCCGGCTTGCGCTTGCACTGAATTTTCTCCAGGTGTGACCGAGGGCCTTTTGATACGAATGCAAGACCAGATGGCTCTGATGTGCTGAAACGGCTCCGTAAAAGGCCCGTTGGCAGCCCGTTGATGGCCGGCCACCGCGTATCCCTATGACCGTGATGAAAATGACAGAAGAACGCCTTCGGATATTGTTGAAGGCAAAATCATACACGTCCGAATGATCCTCGCTTATTAGGCGCTGAAACTTCCAAGTAAGTATGCTCTTCAGACAAGAAAGAAGTAAGTCTCAATCTTCGAATAGCAACCCGCTCAAACAAATTGTTTCTGAACGAAAGGATGCGAGCCCGAGCTATAATTCAGCTCTCGAAAGGATTTCACAGGTCATAGGGGGCTCCTAAGACCGGGGCAGATAAAAAGCCCGGAAGCCCTCGAAGAACTCCATCGGTTCGGAAGAGTCCCGTCCGGGACTGGCAATATTGTCGATCATTTGGACGTGTTTGTTGACTGATATAGGCCAGTATACCCACCCAGTCGTACCTTTTATCTTCTTTCTGCAGTTCGGTGGGAGACTCGATGTGCATCTGTGGCTTAAAGGAAATGACGAGAGGAGGTCCAAGTGGCATATCTTGTGTTCGACGGCGAGTACAAAGAGTGGCTTGCGGCCTCTACCACTAGTGAAGTTGGAGAGCAACCCGTTGAGAATTAATTTTGGGATGTATTCTCTGATTTTTTTTCTTCCGATCCTGGCCGCAGCTGCAGGCATGTATGCAGGGTCCGCAGATCCCGGTAGATATAGTCGTTCATACCTACTTCGTCCCGGATCTTGAAAATCCTGTCTCGGTAGCCTATTTCGGTTTTTTCCGTTGTAATTCATCCCAGTGAGATCGTCAGCAAGTAGATTAACTATTGGCTCGGAGAAGCTAGTCGTACGATCTCGAATGCTGTAGGTCCCGGCAGTCAAAATTTCCTGGCCTAGGGGACCGGGCCGGCTAAGAGATAAAACAAACGAAGTCTCGTTGCCGTACAGGGCCAGATGAAAGAAATTGGATCGACCAACCGAACTACCTAACGAACGAGTAAAGAAGTCCAGATGGAAATGGTAACTTACACTCAGTATCCGTACGATACTGTACATGTTTCGATGACTTACGGGCTGCAGATTCGGACACTTCGTCGTACCTATTCATCCATCTCTCTATATATCGATGCATGGGCAACCTCACACGACGACAGACATAATTTTATATTAGATCACTGAATTGACTGACTTGGTGCAGCAGTGAGCACAGTCCACGGGATCACACCCTATGTTTGCCCTGATGTTTCCCTGCTAAGGCTCATCGCCACCCTTTCTCATCTCGACATGCGACTTGGACGTCTGGGCTGCATAGTGGTGGTACAGTACACATCTAGAGAGACAACCCCGACATAGTTGTAGGTATAGACAGACGCGGTGATGGTGATATGTGATGTGGCGCTGGCCTTAAAACCTTGGTCTCCTCCCATGTCCAGCTGTACATGTCCGTCCTTACTTTACTCCGTACACCTGCTCGATCGACTCTGCAGATGCTAGACTACATTATTCCGAATATATGTATATATATGTTAGAAACATAAAGACATGTGGAGTATAACCACGTTAAGGTAAGGTAAGTTAATAAGGTGGTTAGTTAACTACAGCTATAGCTTTCAAAAGCCACCCCTCCGAGCTCGCCTGGAAATGTACGGCCTCATCTTGCTGCCGGGCAGGGTCGTATCGTCTGTTTGGGCTGTTCGGCACTTTCTTAGCAGACCAACCATTAAGGGAGGCAGGAGTTCCAGCGAGTTGCTACCACGTCCGGTTCGTTACTCTGAGAGATCCCGGCCCAGCCAGCTACTGAGCAGGACCCTGGTCGGAAGCGTTAGGAAGGCATCATAGAAGCACAGCCAAGTGTAAGGACGCCCGCTTTCAAAAACAATGCGGTATGGTTCTGTGCATTTGCAGCTCTGTGCAGGAATTGCCAGCCATCCAGAGATCGAACGTCGAATTTGGCGTCCAGTCTCATCACATCGAATCTTCTCCTCAGGAGTATTGTAACAGAAGCCACCTCGATACTCGATCTCGACCCCATCTCCAAGGATTTCAAGCGGCGGTTGTATGCTCATTTACCGTTTGTTTGCGGCAAACGACACTGGCGACGGCTCTCCCGAAACCTGACGATGCTGAGTACTTTACTGTTGCCCTTCGCTTATCACGTCAAGGCTCAACATACAGTATATACCGCCCTCAAATTCAATCAAATCAAATCAAATCCGGATTTAGCACACGAATCTGGTCACATCGATTCCCATGAGCCTGGAGATCCAATCACGACTGAAAAGTGTTCAATGCCAGCAAACGGCAACCGCTCGTGTCTGGCTCAATCTCCCTGGACTTGTTCCGGAAGGAGGTCTTTGGTCTGCTTCACTCTGCCTTGTATTTCCTCGCTACTGACATAACCTACTGTTTTTTTGATCTCATATCTCAAACTTTTTTTCCCCAGTTCTGGTGACTTCTAATCCCGTTTATTTCCACCTCTATACTTGGACATTATTACGAGGAACAGTACGAAAATAAGGATATTTTTTCTGGAACAGCTGCTTGCCACCTGGTTCAGATCAACTCTGGCTGTACTCAACTGGATCTCATCACACCTCAAATCCGGCCTTCAGTACCGCATATCCGCTGCTCCGTTGTGCCGTACCCACAGGTTTGCGAGAAAAAAAAAATCGATCTGTACAGTACTTGGGTTCTCCGCGCTGGCAATATCAAAACTTAACATGGGATTGAGAGATATTCAGTAAGTACAACTGGCGGTTCTAGCTACTCCTCTCAGGATTTACGGACCGCAAGTACTGTTGTGTATCTTCACCGACCAACCTTCGTTACAACCACCCTTCGTTACGACCACGCACCACTCACACTACATATCACGGCTCCTACTTGCACGCCTCAAGCCACGCCGTCTCATTCTAAATGCCGGTTGTGTCAACGACTAGTACATATCCACTGGTCACTACCTGCTAGTCAATGTACTCTACACTCAACCAGCTTCTTGGCCTCCTACTTCACATAGCAGCCCTTCTAAGGCCACGTCTTGCCCTTCAGCCCTATCGACTTACATTTTCCCGGCGCACTCGTTTTGACTTGCCAGACGTTCGAGATTTATCTAACGAGAACCGGCGCAAGGCTTAGGAGACTACTGGGCGAAAAAATCCAGTCTGCCCGCAACTAACTATCACCGTTTAGTAAAAAGTTACCACGCTACGTGCTGCGAACCCACTCATCACTTCATCGGTGATCCTCTTAAATCCCACCGTCTCCCTGCCTGATGTGTATCGAAATATATCAATTCCAACACCGGTACCAGCATTCTGTCTTGAGGACTTTTCATTCGTGACAGAGGGCACCACAATAAGACCCGGAGAGTTAATCACTTTGGTACACCATATTAGAAAACAGCGCGTATCGACATCTTATCCCTACCATGGAATTTTCGCGACCAACTTATAACTTCACGGACGCGGTGAATCTTCACACCCAGGACTCGATCATGTAAGGCCAACCATACCTTTTCACTCTGCTTCTAACCACAAGCAACATAGGTCCCACCAAAAGCTCATAATTCGGCAACAACCTCTTCAATCCAAGACCTGTGCAGAGGACAAGGGTATGTCTGATACCTACCATGGACCATCATTAGCTAACTTTCCAGACAAATCACCAATTGACCCACCCCCTATCGTAGAGTTGAAAGTCGACCCTCGGCAGGACCCAGCGCAAGGTTTCCTACATAGTACGTATCTTGAGGATAAGGTTTCTGTAATGTAATGTGGGCCGTGGCTGACATTTAGTCTCTGGTAGGTCCCTACCTGCTCATGACATGTAGTATTTTACCGCAATCAAACCAGGACCAGCATTCCAATACGGCAAGAGCGATTTCAGGCCAACTGACTTCGACTTTACAGCGGCTGAAAGATTCCGACGCTCCCAACGCTAGCGATGGAGCGTTCTTCATTTTTGGGGACATGCAAACCAGGCAGGCGGGCAAATTCCGATTACAATTTTCCTTGTACGAGATGCGCGGCGGAAATTGCCACTACATCACGTCGGTCGTTTCCGATATTTTTGAGTCGTACTTGCCGAAATTCTTCCCAGGACTTCGAGGAGCTTCTGCTTTAAGTCATAGATTTATCGCCCAAGGTGTCAAGTTAAAAGCTCGCCGGGAACCGCGTACATATCTCAAAGAGAAGGGACCTGCTTCCGATGACTATCAGCCCCGACATTATGAAACAGGAAGGCACAAAGCCATACCGTCCCCTCCATTGCAGACACAGGAACAACTCAAGCGGTGTTTCTCGCAACAGTCGCAACAGTCGGCAGTATCCTATCCAGAGACTGCTGGTACTCCATACGACGAATACCCAAATTCGAAACGCCCTTGTACCGATTTAAACCAGAGCCAGTCTCCGGCATTCAATCCAAACTATGCTGGCGGCCGTCAGTCGTCTGTCTCCAATCAAGGTTTCCAACAAGCCCCAGGATATGGCGACTGTACCTATGCGGAATTCCCACAGCCTGGTAGTGCTTCTGGTCCGGCTTCAGGATATGGCGGCTACGCCTGTGCAGAATTGCAACAACCTGCAGTCTCTCATGGCCCGACTCCTAGAGGGGCTCAATCGTCTGAGTTGGCGTCGGTATCTTGGTCGCAGGATTTCACACCGCCACTTCAAACGTTTGATCCTTTTTGGAGTATCCCAAACTTGCAGTTTGATTTCAACCCAATACAAGCATCGCCAATGGAGCCAGGGATGGGATTTATCCAGCAAGGGTTACCAGGTTCTTCGCTGGCTGCCGTCCCGTCGAGTTTTAGCGCAGGCTATGGCAATATAGATCCACCGCCGCCGAGGACCCACAGCGATTTTGGGCTCCAAGGTTTCTATGGGCCTAACGAGGGCCAGTGGAACTCGTTCCAGGACGGCCAATACTCAACAGGAACCTTTGGTCAGAATCAGAACATGTCGGCCGGCAACTTCGGGACGGGGTTCTTCGAGGGTGGCCATGAATGCAGCTGTCAGCAATGTAATCAAGCAGTTGAGTGCGGCAAGACGATTTGCAGGGGCTAGGGTGTCAGTGGCGTCTGCCAAAAGCGTCTTGCGACTCTGCTGGGACTACCTGGATACTGGCAATCGTAGATTTACGAGGAGGGACTTGGGTAACTCCCGCTCGACTGGTCGCCTGCGTGGTTTCGATGCTCGATAATAATAGTCGGTGCGCCGCTGACTTTTACCTGCGGGCTCTCGGTAACGGTCAGGACAAGCACGTGTCCCATCTCACTTGATTTCCGATTGGAAAAAAAAAAAGTTATCTTTTACGATCTGAGCTGGACTCGACAATAGCTATATATATATAAATAAGAATTTGATAATTTAGATAAAGCTCGATTGCCACACTTCTGTGCATCTTCTTTTCCAATATCATTACTCGTTGCGTTATTGATTTATTCGAGTTGCACATCGCATCAATTCTATCTGCTATTTCCATCTTCCGCAGCCTTTCAGGCTTGATAATCGATAAGCTGCAAATCTTGCTACGAGTTATTAAAAAAAAAAAAAAAAAAAAAAAACAAACCTCTTTACGCGATAGATATTATAATACTTAAATATATATATATATAATAGATAATCTAATAGGAGATCGTGACGCCGATACGCAAATACAACCTTTCTTATTGTAGCTTGTTGCGTTGTCAAGTTATCTATGATGTAAATCGGGATTTTCAAGGATTTTCAATTCGATTTTGCGTACTATTTGAGATGGGACACTTGCTTGCCCTAAGACACTTGCTTGCCCTGACTGTGACCGAGAGCTCGCAGGTAAGAGTCAGCGAGCGCACTGACTATTAGACCTAAAAAAAAAGAGGGCCTTTCTTACAATCATCGTCCCAAGCGGTGCTGGTGATTGGAGCAAGGTCTCAGTTCAAGCCCCTAAAACAACTCGTGAAGCTGGCTAGCTAGCTATCGAGGATGGCTAAGGCTGGAAGAAGTCTCTATCTATTTGTACTTGTTGCCTCCGAATAAGGAAATTTGTTGTAAAGCAAGCTACCCAAACGAGAACGCGATATTTACAGGCGAGATTCGGATTCTGGAGCGCATACGGAACCTTTCTTTTCTTTCTTTCTTTCTTTCTTCCTCTCTTTCTTTCTTTCTTCCTCTCTTTCTTTCTTTCTTTCTTTTCCTTTTTTTTTTTTTTTTTTTTTGGAGCAGGGCGTTGGGATTAAGAATATCAAGCTTTACTACTGGTCGATCGCGTGCGAGCTTGTGCTGCGCTGTGCTGTCTGTGTGGCTTGAAGGTTTCGGCCCTGCAGCGGGTCCTGTACGTAAGGCGACGAGCTAAGATGGAAGGATGAATTAGCGTGCATATCTTTATTCTCCGAGCAAATCGTGGGCATAGGATAGGGGAATAAATAAACGGGGATGTTTCTTCGCTCAGCTTATGCGAGGTGAGAGATTCCTTTGGTCGCTTCTGGGGGGGGGGGATTTTTTTTTTCTTTTTTCTCCTTTTTTTTTCTTTTTCTTTAAATCTCCAAGTTTTCGGGTGGGTAGAACGTAGAACGCACCGTCGCAGATTGTCACTCGGTATTCGTAGGGACTGGATGTTATGAGGGTGGTCAAAGCGAAAAGGGGCCGGCTTGCTTGCTACGCGCTGCGCTGCCGGGTTGAGAATGTTTGGGTGAGAGGATCAAGGAAGGGGATTGGGATTGGGATTGAAGTTGTACGGACGTCTATTACGTACTTGGCGATTGGAAATTAAGAGGGTAAACGAGATTTCTTTCCCTCTTTCCCGTCTTCAAGTTGTTGGTATGCTTGTTTATGACTTGAGATCGACAGATAATAGAATCATGAATCGGGTTCGTTTTAGCTGGTTGGTGTGGTTGTATCATTAGTTACCTCAAGGTGACGGCGATGTCGGCGTCGATCATTCCCGTGTCGGCGCCACTAGCGTGGCATGTGTGACTCGGGGAACGGGGAAAATGCGTTTGTTAATCAATACTACTTGTCCTGGGTACTTGTCAGCTAAACGGAGCAGGAATGGAAGGAACATCTGGCTGGTCGACCCATTCTGCCCCCCCCCGCTTCCATCCATCCACCCTCCCGCTAACCATCGCTCGACCTCGTCTCTCTTCTAATTTCTCACGTCCGGCCGGGCTGGCACTCCATCAGAAAGAAAGATGGCCTTCTCCCACCGCCCAAGCTATGCCCTCCCAGCCCTCAAGAAATACTTCTCGCACATCTCGCTCCCCGCACCGTACCAAAACATCCTCTTACAAAACGCCACCCGCGAGCAGTGGGCCACATCGTTCGAAGCGCGGGATGTGCTGAATGAAGCAGCTGCAGGTTTACCAGCAGGCAAAGATTCCCTTCTCGAACCTGTACCTGCATTACAGCCGCCACCACGTGGGCACGCTGAAGCCGGCGGAGCTGTTTGAGTATTTGGTGCTGAGTCAGGGGATTGCGAGTGAGGGGGGGAGCGGGGGGTCTTCGATTCTGGCTGCTGGGAAGGATGTGCTTGCTGGGGTCTCGAAGGTGAGTGAGAGTGAAGGTCGGGGCGATCTGGAGGTAGAGAGGGTGAGGAGGTGGGAGGATAGGGGGGCGAGTGGGGGACGAGGAGGCACGTGTACCCTCAACAACACGTTTTTTGGCACTGTTATGCGCAGTTTTGGGATGCGGGTTTTGTGTTCAGGAGCGAGGGTTGCGGCGACGGTGCTTGGGGGCGAGAGGTATAGGTTTTGTGGGTGGAACCATCTGATTAATCTGGTGGAGTTTGAGGGGAAGAGGTGGTTAGTGGATGTCGGGTTTGGGGGCGATGGTGAGTCTCTGCCCAGGCTTACTTTCAGTTCCTCCGAGTGTGGAAATGCGGAGAGTTAACGAAGTGATAGGCCCTGCGTGCCCTATTGAACTTGCTGATGGCAGGGAGGTTTCGTGGGGGGCCACAGGCAACACTCTGCGTCTCATCTACGCCCCTATCCAGGAATTCGAAGACCCAAACCAGCGATGCTGGATCTTGCAACATAGACAGGCGGGTAAGTCAGAGTGGGACGATGTGTACTGCTTCACCGAGACGGAATTTCTACCGCAAGACATCGCAGTCATGAATTTCAAGACTACAGGCGATGTAAGGACCAGCTTCTTCAACCACGTAGCGTTCTGCGGATGTAATGTGGTGGAGGAAGGAGAGGTTATCGGGAAAGTTAACCTAGCGGGCGGGAAGTGCAAGAGGACGGTTTGGAGGGGAGGGAAGTGGGAGAAGGAGGTATTGGGAACCTGTGAAAGCGAGGTTGAGAGGTGGGAGATCCTTGAGAGGGTGTTTGGGATCGTGCTTGGGGATGAGGAGAGGAAGGGCATTAGTGGGATGGTGAGCGAGCTGAGGCGTAAGCCAAAGGATGATTAGGGGCAGTAAGGCTTTTCGGCGGTGCAGAGTACTCAGCAAGATGTGCAGTTGGGTTTTGCTAGACGAGATGTGGATGGAATGTGTGGTGGCTAAAAAAGGCATGTAAAGCAAGTAGAAGAGATATTTCCTCGGATTTGGGTTGACACGGGTACCACCAAGGTGGGTAGTTAGCTACTCCCATAGGATTGTGAGGATCTCGATTCACCGTAGACCAAAAGCAATGCGGGCAACGGCAGAGAGCCACGTGTGTATATGAGAGAAAAAAGAGATTTCTTGGATAAAACTACTTAGGCCCCATGTCAGCAAGGTCTATGAGAGAAGTGCATCGTTCCAAACACGTGGTCCACCTGAACTATTCTAGCCTTTTTGTCCTTCGACACAAGGAGCCGGCCTGTTTGCGAGGGCGAGGGGTGGAAACCAGGCCAGTGTAACTATCTGAAAGAGTATTCAAAGATTATGTGCGTACGTGATTATCTTGTTGGGAATAAGCTGTTTCGTGAAAATTGTCCAGGAATGCCCTTTCAAAGAAGAACATGTAGACTTCCCCACTGGGATTCGGGTTGAGGGTTAAGGAACAAAACTGTTGCTTCAAATCTTGAGGCACGATATTCATGTGGGTAAGTAGGTAGTCCAAGATGCACTTGCATCGGAAGCTATGAGTAAGTAGGTAGTCCTATAAGGTGATCAACCTATTGATTTCAGCTCTTAGGATCATCGAATATTCCCATGCGATATTAATAAGTGTAAGTGTTGGTGACAGTTCTTTTTCCACAGTTTGTACAATTTCTGAATTCGACCCGCCCACCTAGTTGATCCGTTTCTCTAGCTATAGATTCCGGTCAGCGTCGCGTTCTCCAACAACTCATCTACCCAGCGAACGATACGTACTCTCCATGGGTTGTTCAGCTCAAAGCCAGCGGGTGCTATTGGGTTGTCCGTTTGTCCCCTCAGGAATCCCGTCAATCTGCGGTCCCGGTCCATCACTGTCTTCAATTAGCTCCGCAATGTCTTCCGTATCGATCTGGAGGGTTTACTTTGCTAGAAAGAGTTAGCCTTGAGCATTCTGCAGAGGGCATGCCGGCTCACCTTATCCCATTGATCCACCGAGTGTCTGCCCCTCTTCCCTCCGTTCTGCATGTGTCTGATCTTCGACATTCCCGCTCCGGTGATACCAAACATCTGCTGCACTCAGTATAGGGCCCCTCCTATACCGACGTCGGGGGCTGCTGGGGAAGGTAGAGAGGTACGCACGGCAAGCATGATCCCATAGGGAATAAGGGCTTCGAAGGGGACACCCATCGTGGTGATCGTAAATCAATTCTGAAATCCCAATTAGCATCTGCAGATCTTTCCCTGTATTTGTTAAGGGTTCCCATACCCAGTTATTTGTGTCGTGAGGCGATTAATTTCGCTTTGGTAGAGAGTTGAACATAGACCTGACGTTCAAAAGCGACGGACTCCCGCTTACTAAGGCGTTACAGGACTACGACGACATTTCTATTGCGCCAGCTCCGGTTTCCCATCCCGCAGCGCCACGACAAGGTATTGATCAGATTCAATCGTGATCTATGTGTCGGAAGGCTGTATGCTTTCTTAATTATCGCGCTATTAATTTTCCTGCTGGAGTTGTGGCTACAAACCGCGCGTTTCTCCCTATTTCCCCACACGACTCACTCACGACCTCCTCGAAATCCCATTTTCACTCAACCCTCCACCTAGAAGGGCTCAAAACTTTTTAGGCCGATACCTTACTACTCCAGGAACCTCTTCGAAACTACGCACTTATCCTGTGAAGCCTATTGCTCTCTGTAGCCGTTCGCGCGCATTCTGACGGCCGTGGACAGCCTCCAACCATCCATACGGCAAGAAAAGCACAACTCGAAGATACACATTATCAACCCATACGGATGCTGAGCAGCTGATATAAGATGGCGGCCGCCGTGCTTATGGAGGAGGTGCTTCCGCATAGTATGGCGACCTCTGATGACGATGCCGAGTTCGAGGAAGACGATGAGATTGCGGCAGACGGCATAGCAGATGCAGAAGCTTTTGCGGCCAACAACCAACTCCATAATGGACTGTTGGGGCAAATAGAAGGCAGGGGTTATGATGAGGGAGAAGAGAACGAGACCGAAGAGCTTTCTGACCATGATGCTGAGGGTGAGGATGACGATGACATGATCGACTCGGTTCGGAATGGCGAAAACGGGACCGAAGATCTCTCCGATGAGGACGCAGAAGGCGTAGGTGCTGTCAAAATTCAGCCAAAGGGACCGGTAGATGACGATGAGGATGTTGTATCTGGGCCGGATAACGAAGACGACATGAGTGTTACGAGTGGTGAGGACGACGCCGACGACGACGACGACGATGACGAATCGAAAGACTCTACAGATGGTGAAGCAGAGGAAGTCTGGGTCCCAGATGCCGACGGTGAAGAGGACAACGAGCCAGCGAACCCCAATCGCTGCGTGTAAGACCCCTCAAAACGACCGGAAGATATTGTCTCTAATGAGTGTGCTAGATTCTGTCAGCAAGATGAAGATAACGATCCCAGTGAAGTCTTTGAATTTTATCTGGCATGTGGTGTTTGTGGCGACAATGGTATGTTGTTCCCAAGTATGGTATTGAGGCGAGGCTGACGAGGCTGCAGCGCATCGGCAATGCGCTCGCGGTGCCGGCGCCATTAAATCGGAAGATGGTAAGTAAACAATGAATCCTGAGAACGCGAAAACAAACTGGGTCTAACCTATGAACCTAGATGCAGACACGTGGTATTGTCCCGATTGCGTTTCAAACAAACTTGTCCCAGGCCAAGAGCAAGAGGATGAAGACACTGCCGTAGCGCTAGAGGTCGAGGAATCCCTGGATCCCGCAGCAAGAAGAGTATCACGGGATAGAATCGCAGGGGATCTTCTTCCTCCTCAACGTTCTATCAAGCCCGACTCGCATTCTGTTTTCAACCAATTAATCGCGCCTGATGATCCAATGGACGGATCGCGTTATTTGCGAAAGAGGAAAACTTCTTCAACGGACGCCGAGCCTAGCATGGAAGAACCTCTTCCGCCAAGAAGGCGAACGCGAGAAAACACAGGCTCAACTAATCCTAGATCCACAACTACTGAAGCTCAACTCAAGGAGGCGAATGGTCACATAGTGATTGAGCCCCTCCCCGAAAAGAACAAACCGCCTGCGACCAATGGTCACAAGAAAACCGAAGTCATGCTGACGCCACGAGTCTCGAGAACACTTCGACCCAAAATCTACCGAGGTGCAAGCATTTCCGAAAAGTCACCAAATAGTATCAAATTGTTGATTCGCGTTGAGCCCGGCGAATTGCAACATATCCTGTCTCTGCCACCCAAGCCGACGAACAAGAAAAAGAAGGGCAGCGGCTCTTCTGCTCGATCTACAACTACTGCAGTCACGACTACTGTCTCTCAATTTGTCCCTGCGAGCAACTACTCCCAACCATTTTACTCACTCCACGACAGAGAGATGGACGAGCTGAAGTCAAAACCGTATGGTGGGATTCTGGAGGAAAAGGATGCCGATACGTCTTTGACCTTGCCGAAACCTGAACATCGGCGACAATTCGATGAAGCGCGTCAAAAGGCCGAAGAAGACTGGAAGGCCCGAGTAGAAGCCGCCGCGGAGGCAGCCATAGCATCTGGGGTTAAGAAAGCGAAAAAGGTGTCCGGACCGGCCAGTCAGATCGAATATATCGAATTTGGACAATACCAGATCGACATCTGGTACGCTGCACCATATCCGGAGGAATACAGCCGGAACAAGGCATTGTTCATATGCGAGTTCTGTCTGAAGTACATGGAATCTGACATTGTTGCATGGCGACACAAGACTAAATGCCCCTGGAAACATCCACCTGGGGACGAAATCTACCGTGATGGTAAAGTGATGATCTTTGAGGTCGACGGACGCAAGAATCCTCTTTACTGCCAGAACCTCTGTCTACTTGCGAAGCTGTTCCTCGGTTCAAAAACTCTATACTACGATGTGGAGCCATTCTTGTTCTACGTCATGACAGAGTATGACGAACTTGGCTGTCACTTTGTAGGCTACTTCTCCAAGGAGAAGAGACCGAGTAGTCAGAACAATGTCTCGTGTATTTTGGTCCTCCCCATCCACCAACGGAAAGGCTATGGTCACCTGCTTATCGATTTCTCCTACCTCCTGACTCGCGTCGAGAAAAAGACTGGGTCACCGGAGAAGCCTTTATCAGATATGGGTCTGGTGTCGTATCGAAACTACTGGCGACTGGTTCTATGCTACTATTTCAGAGAATTCAAACCTCGTGATAAGATTCCAAGCATCAGACAGATCTCCGATGATATGGGACTTACCCCAGACGATGTGGTATCAGCACTTGATGCCATGGGTGCTCTGATCCGAGATCCCATCACCGGAACGTATGCTCTGAAGCTCAAGACAGACTATTACCGCGAGGTCATCCGTCAACATGAGACCAAGGACTATGCGAAACTCAACCCCAAAGGGTTGGTGTGGACGCCATACATAATGGGCAGAGGAAATGCATCTGCTTTCGATCTTGCACCCGCACTAAATACTGTAGCACCCCGTGACGAGGATGAGGATGACGACGAGACCATTTCAGATGCCAAGATTTCACCCAGACAGGACTTCGATTCTTTCAGCAACGGCGTAACTGAGGCTATCGCTGACTCCCTTGGGAAACTAACCACAATTTCAGGTGAGCTCGTTAAAGTAGGCAAGCCTGACATAAATGGTGGAGTATCGCCTCCCGGACCCAAGCTTAACGGCAACCCGAAAGTCTCTTACTACGAGGCTGCAGCTGGAATTCCTCCGACGCGATTCGAAGTATTTCCTCCCGCGCCCGGTGCAAGGAATCGCAATACTCCTCGACCATCTGGCTCTCGGCCCACTCCTACCCGAAACAGATCAGGGCAATCGACATCATCGCGGCCAAAGCCAAAACGACCTTCAAGTAGCACTCCGCGACGTCCTGCTCCGGCTCGGCCACGCAGCAGCACGCCACGGAGGAAAAGTGGCGGTACGGGTAGAGGTCCTGGTCGATGGCCTAAGGGAACAACGAAAGCTGACTTCGATGGAGCAGAAAGCGCCCCAGGCCTACCTCCGAGCTCCTTGAAGCAAAGAAGCAGGCTGGGCAACGAAATCCTACTTGGCGACGAGGTGGGAGGCGAAGAAGACGAAGAAGGAGTTGAGAGTGGCGATGGGAAGGGGTTGCAGAAGCAAATGACCACATTCGAAACTCCCGCGATAAAGAAACGACGAGATGCTGCCCGAGGAAAGGGGTTGGCAAAGCCAGTTCCTGGACTAAAAGGAAAGGGAAAGGGTAAGGGAATGGGCTTGGGCTTGGGAGAACCCATGCCGGAAGACAAGGGAAAGGGACCATCAATCGGGCCCGTGGAAGTCAATCAACTAATGGAAAACGCACCAACCATGTCAACAGAAATGGATATTGATGCTGAAGGCGAGATAGACGAGTGATGATTTGTCACTTGGTGTACGGTTATGGGATCTCGAAGCTCCAGGCGTCCAAGGCGTTTTGGCTTCTACAAAGGAGGGCATGGGGGCACAATTATGGTACTGGCGCGATGGAGGGAAGTTTCAGGAATGGCCCGTGAGATCTCGCGGCAACGGATGTATAAGTAGCGCAGTTGAGTACTTCTGGGTTGATACTACCCAGCCAAATGCATTTTTTGCCCGTTCATTGGGCTTGAAAAGTCCAAGCAGTCTTGCACATCATTCGCAAGTCTCTATGATGTTAAAACTTTATGTTAGATATTAGGCATGGAAGTTCGGCGAAGTGAGCACAGGCAATCCGAACCTCTCTCTGCCAGGGTCTCCAGTGGAGATCTTCGTTCCTGAGACGGGGATGAGGGCCATTCTGTGGCCAGAGCCTCAAGTGCGGTATGTAATGCATGTCAGCTGCCAGTAACGGGGAAGGGTTAAACTTCAGACGTCTGCCTGCTTGGTGCACGAGCATGCGCTCGCCAGTTGGTCGTCCATCTTCCTGTTCGGCTATCAATCGACACGGTCAGCTTTCAGGGCCGATGCCGGTCTCCTTGAGTCAGTTCTCGGTCAAGCTTTTCCTCGCTTGTATTATTATGACTCTACTCTACTTCAAAGCTTAAGCACGAGTATATTTTTTCTACCTTTTCAAGATATATATAGGAAGAGACGACAAGACCAACATTCCAAGTGTCATCTTTGCGTATTGGCTGTTTCTTGATTGTGATCGGATAATCTTTTCCAAATTTCTGGTGCGCATCGATTGTAATTGAAAGCCGTATTACTTCTCCCCCTGCGCGAGTGAGATCCAGGGGTCAGCAACTCTTGCAGGATAGGGATAAGTACTCTAAAACCTGTCCGCGCAAAGTGGAAACAACAACACCCAAGCGCTTCCGTCTGCCACCCGATCATCACGTTTCATGCTCTTGCTTTGTTTGGCCTGATGGTTGATTCCCACGGCCGGTATCTCCAATAAAGGCATCTTGACCACCGGTCAAACCGTTCTTTGTCGCGAACACTTGAGACGAGCGATGGCCGCGATTCCCGGCTGCTCAAGCTTCAACGTGGGCAACGTTAGCGCGCAGTAGCCACTCCTTGATCTGCCATCCGATGACCTGATTGATCTCATCCTTGGAGGAAAGACATGGCGGGTGATTTCTATGGCATCCCTCGAATGGCTTCCGGCTTGTCTTGACCGACCGATCTGCAGAGCTGCACTGACTTTGCAACGAATGCTGTAGGACGAAGGTCTTTGTCAATCAGAGGCAGTCGCCAGGTCCGGTGAGAGCTGGGAACTTGGGATGCCAGGTATTTAAAGACTCGCCATGCCAGCCCCCAAAGTTTTCATATTACTTACTCCATTCTTGCTTCAATAACTCTATTTCTTCACTTCACGGGATCCGGGTGATTCATCACCTTCCAGCTCTTATACATTCTTTCATATTTTCGTGCAGGACACCATCTATGTACTTCATCATGCTCTCTTTAGTCCTCTACATCGCGGCTCTCCTTTCCTTGGTCCAAGGCCATGGAGTCATTCTCGGAGCACAGGTGCGTTGAAACACAGCTGTGCTACGTGGACGTACTAACAAGTAGCGATAACCAGGGCGAAGCAGGATCGCCCCCAAGCGTTGGATTCCAAGTAAACGATGCCATTGCCCGAAACTGCACATCCATTAGTCCTTGCCAACAAGACACCACGATAATCCGAGATGCGGAGATCAGAGCAAACATCGTCAATGAATGTGGCCGGACAGAATTGACAGGCAACATTGATATTGGAGAGAATACCGAGAACGCTCTCGCGGCCGGTGCAGTTACCTCTGTCAAGTCCGGTACACTGATGACTGTTACTATTCATCAGGTCAACGCCGATGGTGCTGGACCATACGCGTGTGACTTGGAGGAGACGGGTATGAGAACATGTACAATCCGGCAGCCTGTGGCTAATGTTTCGTAGGCAACACGGGTGTCTTCACGCAAAATCTCACGGTCACCAACAACGTCCCCGGTGTCAACGGCTTTTCGCAAGCCAAGACCCAGGACTTTAACATTACTGTCGCTATGCCCGACGAATTCAGTAAGTAGACTTGGCCAATAGCCGTGTTCCCTTGTGCAAGTGACTCTGAACTTTTATATCTATCCCAAAAATCTACTCTCAAGACAGAAACACGTATAAATGCTGACTCTCCGGTCATCAGATTGTATTGGGGGATCTACCGGAAACATTTGCACCGTCCGCTGCCGTAACAACTCTCAAGCCGGACCCTTTGGAGGCTGCGTCGCCGTCCAACAGACAGACGGCGTTGCTTCCGTCAACTCTCCCAACACCAGTACGTATTAGCAGTTGTGTATTCTTGACTCGGAGTACAGATTGCTCTGATGAATTGTTTTCAGTTGTCGAAGCATTGATCGACACATCCACACCCATGAAACTTGCCTCTTTTTTCTCCAATCCTTAAATCCCGAGCGCTGACCTCCTCCTCAGTCTCTACTGCAGCAACCCTCCCAAACATACTTGCACAAGTCCACCAAGACCAGATCGATCTCGCCGCCGCCATCAAGGCCAATCAGGTCTCAGGGACTGGCGCTGCCGCTCTCAAAGCTGCTGGTGGTGGGTGCTCACCAACTCGCTCTAATGAAAATCAGCTAACGCCAGATAGCCGAGCTCAAGGTGGTCAGCAAGGCAGCCGAAGTCCAAACCCTTGCTCGCGAGAACATCAACGGGGTTGGCGCTGCAGCTGCGACCACTGGAGCAGCAGATTCGGTTTCCTCCAGCGCGTCCGCGAAGGCGACGGAGACGGCCAAGGGAGCAGGAAAGGGCGCAAGGAAGGGCGCAGCTAAGGCTTCTGCGGCTACTATGGCTAAGGAGACAGGAGCGGCTGCAAAGGGTAACAAGGTGGCTGGTGACAACCAGGGCAGTGATGGAAACAATGTCAAGAACCAGTCCGTTTAATTACAGGTACTGGGAAGGAGTTTGGATTCACGGTCGTGCTAGGATATGTAGTTAGTAGCGTCGCAGTTGTAGACGAGGGCTATGTTATGGGCCTCTTCGTATCGACTTGTGCAGTTTCATCTCGTTGTCCTCTTTCGATGTGGGTGAGGAACATGAATGCTGGCGAGGATTCTCACCCCTCGCGTAACAATCATAACAATTGCGATTTCCACGAGCATTGAAACTCTCGGGTCTGTACTAATACTAGAGAAAGGGCTCTCAGGACGTTGGAAGTTGGAACTGAGAAGGTAAGAAGGTAAGAAGGTAAGAAGGTAAGAAGGTAAGAAGGTAGGAAGGTAGGAAGGAAGGAAGGAAGGAATGAAGAAAGGAGGTATCCCCCTGCTGGACTCCTAAATAGAGCTCAAATGCATGATGCTTCTTTACCTCGCCCGCTTCCAAAAGCTCGCGGCGAATCATCCACTTACTTCCACAGGTGAACAGCGAGCATGGCGGATGATCGAAAGCACGTATCAGAGACGCACCTACCGCCTGCAAACGCTCAAAAGTAAACATACCCCTTCAAGTGTCGCGTAAGTGTTGGGCACCGACCTCGCCCTCCTTTTTGCCGCCCTCGGTACTCGCAGCTTTGTCACCGGCTCGAAGTCCATGGCAAACTGCACCACCTTCACGGTCTTCATCCCGTCTTGACTCGTGGGATTTATTCAAGGAGCGCTTGCATTTTAGTGCTCACGTGTACGCAGCAGAGAAAAGAATTTCGGTGCCAATGGCTGTTGACGTTCTTCTTCTAGACTCTGGCTTAAGCCCGACATCGTAAGTATCTACCAACACCCTAACTTTCTTGAACAGCGTGTCGGGAAGAGATACAGGGCCGGAAAGTGTGTCATTTGGGCTCAGTAGAGATTCTGGACGACATTAAATTATAGAGCTAGGCGCAGATAGAAGCGTCACCAGAGAAAGCGTGGTCAACATTCGGAGAGAGAGGTATCAAGGCGATGGCAGGGCTGGCATTCTTACCACAGTACTGCCCTATTATATAATATGCGTGGCTAATTGCCGTGAGTATGATCTACATATCGTCTAAGGGGTATGTATACAAGAAGCGCTTCCTTTAAATTGCTCGTGACCTTCGCAAGCTGCCACGTCCTATCCGCCTCCCTCACCCCGCCCCAAGTGAATACCTTCTTGTAGGCTTCGGGACCAGCGAACGAAGCACTAGTCACCGAGAGGAGAGTCGAGGGGATACAGGAACAGGTTATTAAAACCTGCACTATATCCATAAAGGTTACAACTTGCGCACTGAAAGTGGAAGGGGTGTACGAACGCAGTAATTCCAGCAGAGCTATGATCCAGAAGCTCGTAACGAATCTAGTTTGCGATGCACATCGTGGGGGTCAGTCAGCGTGAGGAAAAACGCACCAGACATCTGCCAGTAGGTAGGTATCCTTACTGCACAGGGAGGAGCACCGGCCTTCACGGCGGGTCTGGGCGGGAGATTCTGAAAAGTATGGTGATTAGTATACGGTACGGTGGAATCTACCACACTACAGCCATAGTCACTAGCGCCTGAGGGCAGCTCGGAAGGCTAAATCTCCACTTCACGCCCCTTGATTTCCCAACCCTCAGGGTGCATTGCTGATTGTTGTGAAGAGGAGGAGGAACAGGTGTAGAGCCTACGGCCCAAGCAGTCGCCGCACAGCCCGAGCTCGGCTACGATGGTGTGAGCGGAACTACTCGTGCGTGAACTAGGTACTACTACTCGATGTATATTCGCTGTTGATTCTGATTCGGTATTACACGAGGGGGAACCGAACCATGTATTTACGCGACATCTGGGGTCCTCGGAGAGAGGATCCAGGTCCTGCTGCTGGCGCGCTTCAATGGAGGTGTCTGGGACTTGGCATAGCGAGGCCCGGAAGTACCGGTGGCGAGCGTGAGCGCGACAAATGTTAACTTCACAGCGAGGAAAGTAAATAGTTGTGTGTGCGGGGTTTTGGAGAGGATCGCGAAGTGGAAGAGCAAGACAGTGAGTATCTTGCTGGTTGTTATGCTAATCTGCGACTCGATGGTGCTTCGGACGGGATATGCAGCTTGGTAAAAAAAAAAAAAAAAAAAAAAAAAAAAAAAAAAACTAACCACCGTACAGGCGTAAGTATTACCCCTCGAGGTGCCTCGGAAGTTTAGTTCCCACTCTAAACCGCCTGGTTTCCCTGCCCTTGAGGGGTAATACTTACGCCTGGGACGGAGTATTTGCTTATGCGCATGAAGTTTCCCAGAGCTTGTTTTAAGTAAAGCGAAAGTACGCTATTTATAGTACTGCAAGTGGAAGCTAGACTGGATCTATGGAAGTTCAACTGCACAACCGTGAGAAGTACAAATACTAATGGTAATTTGTGTATGGACGTCGACAAAAGAGAAAAATACAGTATATTCTCGAGCAATCTCGACAACAACAATTTTACAGCTAGTCTAGAGGTCATCTGCTGTTGTCGACCCTTCTTTTGTAAAGAAGCCCGCCCCTGCTAACTTGTATAGATAGACCCGTGCCGAACCATCTTGCCCTGTCTCGAGCCCAAGCCTCGTTTTGAAGTGGGTATGGTCCTTGGTATACAGAGTACGGAGGTGCATGGGATAAAGTGCTACTCAACCCCATGCACCTCCGCATAAAGGGTGATCTGGGAGTTGACCTCGCAACTTTTAGGGGTCCTTCTTCCAAGTGGGCGAAAAAAATGTGTCTCGGGAGAAAAAAAAAAACATGTATCCCAACCAAAACCAACTCCGAAAATCGCATATTTTTCGACGTATTATTTCGAATAATCGCCTGGGCTGCGCTTCCCTCTTAATCCCCCTCGGGTAGGGCTTTCTTGAAGTGTCCGTTTTTCAGAAGTGTCCTGAAGCCTTAGGTATTTGGGCGATGACAAGGCTGGCAAAGTTGATGCGTAACTCATTAAATTTCGTATTATCTACAAACACAGCGTCTGTACCGCCATTTCTTTGGCATTGGTTGTGCCCTTCGCTAGCTTCCACATCTGATCAGGCTCTCTCACCCCCTCACCGAGTGAATACCATGTTTTGGGCTTTGGGACGAGCGAACGAAGCACTAGTCTCTGAGGGGAGAAAAAGAGGAAGCTAGCTATGCAGTCTGCACTTAGATACGAGGGGTGACTTCGGGAGGAGGTGGTAATCCCGTGGAGCACTATATCGACACACTTAGTATGTGCGTACTGCAGATGGTGGGTTTATACGTACGCAGTAAGCCCAACAGTTCTATAAATCAGACGTTAGTAAGAAAAACTAGGGTTTTTATACACATCGCGGGGTCAGTGTGTGAGAGAAAACGTACCAAACAATTTTTACCACTCTCATCACATACGGTGCAGCCACCTGGGCGGCACTCGTAATCCTGGGTAGCACCGTGTTTAGTACATCATGGAGATCAAAGCAATGGGGTTGAGGTGTTGACTCTTGTAGGGAGGAGCGAGAGGTAGAACTTACAGGGCTACGACAACGGTCCTTCACACATTCTCCCGTCAGCTGCGGCTGGTGTTAGTAAACTGATTGTCGTGGTAGATATGTATTCGGTGATGATTCCATAACTCATTGTACAACGAGGGTAACGAACCGATTGAACTGTAAGGCAGCCTGGCTGCTGGCGCGCTTCAAGAGAGACAGGTGCTCCGAATGGGTTTGGGATAGCGAGGCCTGGAAGGGCGAGCGCGAGTGTGAGAGCGACAGATGTGAACTTCATTGTGAGGGTGGTAGAGACTTGATGTTTGCGAGGCTTGGAGAATATCGAGAAGAGGATTAGCAAAGATGAGATTGTGGTATTTGACAAACGAGAGGGATATGCTACCTATTTTATACAACACCAATTCTCTATCGGTCAAACAAAGTGCAAAGTAATGCGCATCAAGGTTCCAAGACTCCGTTTTCAATGAAGTATATTAAATTGAGTTATCGTATAACGAGATCCGTCCATGTGCCTGCATAACTGTCCCCATATCGAAAATCATCCTAATGTACCGGTAGAATCGGATTACGTAATAAGCCTAGCCAACTTTTGAAAGCATTCCAACCCCTCTCCTTAATCTACCGGTAAAAGGATCGATGCATATTTCCTCGGTAGGGACAGCTGATAGCCGAACACAGTTCGGAGACACTTCCCTCCGTACGATAACCGAGAGCAGCTAAGGCTAGTAGTCAACTCTTGAAGAAGGCTTTTGCTCGTTTAGTGAAATTGTTCAGTCAACTTAGTCCGATTCGGTGGATAAGGCTCTCGCCTTCGCTGCGAGCATTTGCGTACAAAAAAACATGGCGCCAGCGATAACAAAATATGATGATGAGGCTTCTGAACGAGAATGTGAACATACTACCACCACAATGAAAAAACACGATATATATCTCTTGTATATCAAGTCAAAGGCCACAGCACGGAATTAGCCTTGAGCCATACCCAAACCAAGCCAAACGAAATATCCGCAGGTCGGGTTAACACATCGTTATCCCGTACTCTGTAGACACGCAGGTCGGCAGGTCAGTGATAGACTTTTGACTATGCCGATGATTCTATATTTAGAAAAACCTAATGAGTTAACTCGATCGCAAACCCTGCTCCGTGGGGCCGATAGTTTCCCCATGCCTGGACATTACAGTACGGTAGTGGAATCCGTTTTCGCATGCCTCGGTACTCTGAACTGAATGCTGCTCTACCTAGGTATGCCAGCGCAGACTTCCTTCCGTGCGCTGGCCCCTGAAGTATGGGGTCGCCCCTGCGCAAAGTAGCAAAGCTGGGCCGATCGTAAAGGCCAAACTGAAGCTATTCGCAAGGTCAGTTTGCTAGCCAATCACGAATGTTTAGAGTTAATTGCCTGCGAGAATTTAACGAAGTGAGTAGAGCACGAGATAAGGTTCCAGCAAAGGTAACAAGAAGCGTCTGATTCATGTAGAGAAGAAAGAGTGAGTAACTGTCTATACTCCGTGTGTATGTGTAGACCACGTGAGCCCCGTTTACAGTTTTGAGCACGGTAATCCACAGAGTTGGGAAACCATGATTGCTTGGGCCGCCTTGTGGAGGGTGCTGGGGGAGGGGGCGGCCCAAGCGATCAATCGTTGGGGCATTTTAAATAATACTGTACGTAGAGAGCATTCGCAGAAATTTCAGGTGGGATCCGGGAGAGTTTTTGCAGGTGGTTTGGCGCAAATACTATCACTAGAGAGGTAAAGCTGGTACAAAGGGTACTTTTGAAAACGCTTGGAACGGGAAGAGCTTTCATATACTTTTCAGCTCCATATGTCGTCGATCTAGCCCTACTTGTCGTTGAAAACCAAAAACTTCGATACCCTTTACGAGAATTAGTGGAGAATTTTAAAACCCTATTAAAGTAGAAAATAATGGAGTAGTCTGAGCTACTTTGGAAAGAAATTTCAACCTGCTCGTGGGTTTCCGCTCTGTTGGATCTACGTACGAAATCGTAGCTTAGACATACAGTGCAGTTGACTCGAGTTAATCTTTCGGAGAACCCGTCCCAAAGAAGCCGAAAACTGCAGATTTCACTTGCAAATCTGACCTGCGGGTTTTGCTAATGCTCTTTAATCGTCGTGAAAATTTGATTTATCGCTTACGTAGTCTCACCGTTCGAAGGTACTTTTTGGCCTTAAAATAATAAAAGTACTTGCATTCTTACACAAAATACATAGGATCGCGTCGTGCGGTATGGGGATATGATACTAGAAACTGCAATATGCCTTGCAGGTCTGCTTTTGCACAATAGATCGTAATAAAGAATGCTTTCCGTTAATATTGAAAAATGTGAAGAGAAGGATAAGCGTATAATCAGCGCAAGATCAAGTACATCTTCAAACTCGATCGCTTGGAAAAGGAAGGCAAAGGTGAAACATGTGAGTTTTGGCCGACAGGCGCCCTTGAGCTTTGATTGATGTGATGAGAGCTGGCTAGCAAGCTTTTTGGAAGCAGCTAGGTGGAGCTTGCTTAAGAAGAAGCCGGCTGTCAGAAAATTGAGCCAAGCTCAAAGAAGCCTAACGCTCCTTATTAGGGCCATTCTGAATACATGAAGTGTGGCCAGGGGAGGCGGGAGGGGAAACGACTTCCAAGCAATCGATCGCTGCTGAGGACTCTCAGCTCTAGGAAAGTACCACTGTAATATAGTCCAATCTGACCAAATCTGACCAAAGGACTTTATCCTGTAACTTTCTGACAGTCTTTCAAGGCATTGAAGGTTGTAGCCCGCTTCCTCCTTTGAGAGTGTAAACACAAACATTTTATCTTAGTCAACTACCATTTTCTTCACGACTGGTGAGCGGGAAACACTCGATCTTGATGTTCCGGTACGGAATAGGTAACCTGCTCCGGCCTTCGCTACCGTAAAGGCCAGCTACGTTAGCGACAAATCAAATATTTACGGAGTACGACAATTCAAATGCCTCGACTACCACAGGAGGGGGATGTTGGTGGTGTGGGGCATGTGGGGGAGGCGCCTCCGACGATAAAACGAACTTTCTCGAAGTGTAGCCAGGACATTTAGACAGTGATAGTACTCTAATAAGAATAAGGGCATCCTTGAACAGAGGTTGAAGCTGAAGCGTGGTATGCATCAGAATTTCACACTGCTCTTCTGTTCAAAGGGGGGGGCATATGAGAGTCTTGCTAAAACCTTACCTCAACATCCAGGCTGTCTCTGGCTCGTCAGTATTAAGAGAGATTGGGACGTTTCTATTTTTAGTATCCCACTGCTTAACAAAGCTCTTAAACCTTTTACGATTAAACCCAACTTAAACCTACCTAGACGGTCTTCATTCTTTAGTCCCATGTGAATAGAGGGGTTTTCGCTTAGCGTGGCACGCCCTTCAAGGGACCCCCAACTTCCATAGAAAACCTATTATATAGCTAGTGCACGTGATTCCTTCTATTCGTATGGAAGGACTCACCTCCCCTGAACGTTGGGGAACAAACAGAAATCAAGTACCATTTTTACCCATTGTTTTGCAATTGCAAGAAGCTACGTGCGCTGCACGCGAGTATTTACGAGGTTACGAACGTTCACGAATAGATCGCCGGTAGCGATCTATTCGTGAGGCGCCTCAGGAAAACGGACACTCGAAAGAAAATGATACTTCAAAAGGACAGGCCCCTGTGAAGGGGAGTAAGGGGGAAGGGCGGCCCAGGCGACTATCGCACCTTGAAGCGAGGTTCGCGCAATTTTCAATATAGCATGGACTCGGGAGATACTTGGATACATCCGAAGCCGCTGCATGATCAATTTCACTTAAAAGCCCGGCCATTTCTCTACTCTGATGTCTCTCAACTTTTCTTTCTTTCAAAGAGTATCTAGGTACTTCTTCATGCTAACGCTAACATCAACGCTTTTTTTAAACCGCCGCTATACCTTCTGTCGGAGTTGTTTGCAAAGACATCCAAGCTCTTCGCAAAGCGATACGAACCTTTAGATTGTAATCTAAGAAATGGCCGTCGCTAATAATCATGACTTCCTATTCTGAAAGTCTGTGAATAGTTTCATTTTCTTTGTAACGCCGTAAGTCATATAACTGTATTCTAGGCTATAGCGCTCCGTGTCTTAGGAAAGGATCAACCCTCACGATGCCGTTCTCTATTTATATAGGATCAAGAGTTGCAGATCCTTGAAAACATAGGGATGAAGAGTTAAGACCCTACCTAGACCGACAAAAGCTAATCAAAACGCTATGAAAAGTACCCCCGCCGGAGAAAGCAAACATCTTCAGCTGCTCTGTAATGTCCAATTGATCGGGCACATCTGAGCAGAAACTTGTAATTCGACAAGGTCAGCGGCCATGATTATTGACAAGCTTCCATAATGCGTTTAATCTGCGAAAGAAACAAAATAGAATAATCACGGTAATCAGCCTGTCGAACTTGCTGAGAGAGCCCAAGAAGTTTCATTGTCCATGTGCCTACCGTCTTATACAATTCCGCCTGCCGATCGACGAAGTACTTCGGGTCCATAAAATGCAAATCCTCAGAGAAATTTGGTGGGGGAATAGTTAACAGGAGAGATGGAACCCCATCTTCGAGCGCAGCAAGATGAAGGACGACTTTCATAACAGCATGGGGGTCTCGCGTTCGTAACGCAGAAAGAAGTCTCTCTTCTTGTTCCTCGATTGAGATAGGAGTGCCGTATCGAGACTCGGATGGCTGATTGGGAGGACGTCTCCGAAAGTTCCAATGCTGCTACGAGCTTTGGCATTTCCTTGTCCGCGAATGTATTGATCGAGGCCCCGTCTCCATTCTGTATAACCTGAGGATCTCCAGTCTTCCTCTCGGGTCGTTTCGAAGTCCAGGTCTGCTCCTTCCTTCAGCTCACCAGAATATGTCTGTCTTTTCTCGATATCCACGGCCCTGGTTGTCTCCCCAAGAGCTGTGATTTTCCCGCCTTTTCGTTCCTCATGATGATTGTTGTAGAAGAATCGTCGAAGTCTGAGCGCGCACACATGACTTGACACTCTACCCGGGCAGGAGTATGAAGCTATCCGAGACTCAGCTGCCTCCAGCTTCCAAAAAGAGCATGTTCATGAGCTTCAAACTTCGAGGGTGTGGAAATCCGGGGAATCTGTGGGCCCCGGGCGGGTACTGGTGGAGATGTGGAGTAATAAAGTAGGACTAAGCTTAGAAGTCAAATAAATAAATCGAGGTTGATCTTTGTGGGGAAAAACCTACTCGCGGACAGTTCTCGGAAGTGACAAATACTGCTCCCTTATATGTAAGGCATCAAGATTTGCCAATTTTGCTCATGCAGGCGCGGCCAGCAGATCGAAGTCAACACGCAGATTCGAGCGCGTTTCGTTTACTTTCCAACGCCAACTCTACAAAATATGGCCGACAACGAAGATGGCGTATCTGCTCCCGCGGAGCCCCTTGATCTTGTGCGCTTGTGCCTCGACGAGGTTGTGTTTGTGAAGCTGCGAGGAGACCGAGAGCTGAAGGGGAGACTACATGTTGGAAATTCTTCGCGCATACGATGACTCGATGCTAATGATTTCGCAGGCATACGACAGTCATTGCAATCTCGTGCTAGGAGATGTAGAGGAGACAGTATACGTGGTTGAAGAAGACGAGGACGAAGAAGAGACCGTCAAGGTACAGCTGCCTACCTTCACAACACTCGGACGGCATTTTAATGACGGCCATAGACAATTCACAAGAAATCCGAGATGCTTTTTGTCAGAGGTGAGAGTGCTCATAGCGTTCTGTAGTTGAGCTCCAAGGATAAATGAACTGACTTTTTTTACACAGGTGACAGCGTAGTCCTCATCTCTCCCCAAGCGCCGTCATGAGAGCAGAATAGATCAACGCGCAACGATAAATTGGTTGGAACCGGCTCAGGAATTTCAGGGAACAGTGAAGATATCAGAAGATATCAGCGGAGGCGCATGTTATTCTCAACGTGAGCAAGGCGGGGTAGGCCATTGTCTTTTGCAGCGGCAAACTCCACGAGTTTGCAGGAAAACCGAATACCAGAGGTGAAACAATAGAAATGAAACAATAAAGCTTTGCCATGAATCAATTCAGACCGGCGATGCTGCGATGCTGCTGTGCGGGACGGTTCATAAGTGATTCGAGCTCAGTGGCGATTCACGACTCCCAGCGGCTCTTATCGATAAAGCTCCCCGGAAGAGTCACCTTTCGACTCTCTTTCAGCTCAACCAACAGATAAAGGAATTTGTCGAAAGAAGCGCCAGGCAATTGGGAACTTCGAGTCGTCCAAATGATATTACGAATATACTACAGAGCCAATATTGACTCGAAGCACTGGATCTCAGACGTGAACGATGGCAACCAAAGGCAAACAACTTCCGCATGAGCGGCGGAAAGGCGAGACGGTACGATATATCTCTACCGAAACACTTCTCTATACTCACGTTCTCCAGGCGTTGATGGAATTCGCAGACTATGTTGAAAAACAACAGAAGATCCGCCACCCCTCTGCTACAGCTGGCTCATCCACCACAGTTGAAGAGCACTCGGAGCTCGACATCCTAGACTCGTTAGACCTGGCAGATGCCTCCCCAGCTATTCGATTGAAAGAGCTACTTCTCACTCACGATGATGACACATTTGCGAAACTGGTCAACCTGTTGGAGACACGAATTGAGGAGGGACATGGCGAGACAATCTTCGAGGTCGGGTTCGAGAATAATGGCGACTCGATGTCATTGACCAAGGATGAATGGGACATTTCCATGAAGAGGTTACGGGAAGCGGCCGGCAAAGTACGGGCGGACTGCCAGATTCTTCTCACGAAACATGTTGGGGGCGACGTGGAAGCCGAGAGTGCTGCAAAGGAGAGGAAGAAGGACTGCAGTGGGAAAATCCTGATCAGACAATCCCCAGCAACTGTCCAGGAGGTTATCGAAACTCGAATTGCGGTCGTGGGAAATGTCGATGCTGGTAAAAGCACTATGTTGGGGGTCCTCGTTAAGGGAGGATTGGTCAGTAGATTCCCTCGTACTCTCGGTGTCTTGGGTTTGGAGTTATGTCTCAGGATCAGTGATTCCAGATGATACCTCGGCCCTGAAATGCTGAACCAAACCGGTGCTGACTTGCAGAGTCAGGATGATGGGCGAGGGAAAGCCAGAGTTAACCTCTTCAGACACAAGCACGAGATCGAGAGCGGAAGGACTAGCTCGGTCGGGATGGAGATTATGGGATTTGATACCATGGGCAAGATTGTTACAGCTGAAGTGCCGGGGCGAAAACTGTCATGGGAGGAGATTGGCAAACGCTCCGCAAAAGTCATCAGCTTTACTGACTTGGCTGGACACGAGCGATACCTGCGAACAACAGTGTTCGGAATGCTATCTTCAAGCCCAAATTACTGTCTACTGATGGTAGCGGCCAATAACGGCTTAATCGGGATGAGTAAAGAGCATCTGGGTATTGCCTTGGCTCTGAACGTTCCGGTCATGGTTGTCATCACCAAGATTGACATTTGTCCGCCACAGATTTTGGAACAGACTATTCAGCAAATCACCAAGATTCTGAAAAGTCCTGGAGCGAGGAAAATCCCGGTCTTCGTCAAGAACCGAGAAGAGTGCATCAATACGGCTACTCAGTTTGTCAGTCAACGTATTTGCCCTGTCTTTCAAGTATCCAATGTCACCGGAGAATCCCTGGACTTGGTTCGAGCGTTCTTGAACATCCTTCCACACCACGGCCACTACGACGCTGATGCTCCGTTTGAGTTCCATGTCAATGACACTTTTTCCGTTCCCTTCGTCGGAACTGTCGTGTCCGGTATTATCAAGAGTGGGGTCATCCATGCTGGTGATACCGTTATGATCGGACCAGACTCCCTTGGTCATTTCACTACCACCAGTATACGATCCATTGAGAGGAAACGAATACCAGTACCCGCTGCATCCGCGGGACAGTCTGCATCTTTCGCGCTGAAACGTGTCAAACGAAAGGATGTGCGAAAAGGCATGGTTGTGCTTCCCAAGCTTGAGAAGCTTGAGCAGAATGCTCCCAAGCTTGAGCAGAATGCCCCCAAAGTTTACCGAGAGTTTGTTGCCGAAGGTAGGATATTCTCCATCCCCTGTCTTCTGACTGACATAATTAATGAACGCCAGTACTCATTCTCTCCCACGCAACCACCATCAAAACCAAGTACCAAGCCATGCTCCACGTAGGTCCTATCTCCCAAACCTGCGCTATTATCGACATCGACCGCGCGTTCATCCGCACCGGTGACCGCGCGCTGGTCGCTTTCCGTTTCGTCCAAAGACCTGAGTATCTGGCACCCGGCGACCGATTACTTTTTCGTGAAGGCCGTACGAAAGGGTTAGGAATTGTGAAGAGCGTGGGATATGACGAAAGCAAACCGCTCAATCCAAACGCGGCCAAGCAAGATGAAAAGGCTGATGAAGCTAAGGTGGACGATAAGGCTGCCGACGGGGAGACTGCTCAGGAGAATGGCAGGGTGTGAGAAGTGTTTTCAAATTGCATCTTTTTATGCTTTTATCCGTAGATGCTATTATGGGTTTTGAAGAAGGGGCATTGGGATTGCTTGGATGGAATGTTGGGAAGGGGAATAGATTACCTCGCACAGAATCACGGAGGTGCATGCGGAGGGTGAGTTGGAAGGTGGTGCTAAATGCCTTTGCTAGGCAATAGCACCTTTTTTTTTTTCAATTTGAATGACTTCCAGCCTCGCACTTCTTTCTATCTAGGTATTCTCCACAGCGAAAGCTGTTCTCGCGAACTCCGACCACAGAAGGACGGTGGGTGGCTAGGCTCTTGAATTGCTCATCTTTGGTTTGGCTTTGGGATGAAGTAGAAGAGGTAAGTTGGGGGAGGGGTAAATGTAAATAGAATCCCTGAATTTAGCGAGGCGGGATGACGTTTCTGACAGCGACGCGATGACGTCCGGGCGGGAGATCAGTGCGAGTGCTAACAAGTGTTCAACAGCGGCGGGTATAGCCACTTCCAGATCGTAGACTCAACCTGAATTCAGAACATGCCTCAAGTACAATTCGGTAAAGAATCACATCAAATACAAGCCAGTGGATTTATTTTTGACCGGCGCCTTGATTTTATTCTCGTTCTGTATCAAGTAACCTGTAAGTATGAAGCAAGCTCTCAGGGTCCTCTGATTCGCATGACACTAGTTTGGTGCCAACTCATCTGGAGCACCCGAGAGCCTGTTCAGGAACCAGTCAGATGTGGCCCCGCGTCGGTAGGAGGCTTTTTAACGACGTCAGTTCTTTGCTTAGCCTTGCTTTTGGACAGTCAAAGGCCGGGCTCGTACTGTAAAGGAGGTGGGGCGTGCCTTCCTTCCCCGCCAAACACTTCTTGGTATAAATCGACACCTTCCCACCAACACCATCATCTCTCTCCCTAACGAACATCACGACTTGACGAAGACCCAAAACTACGAAATACACATCACAAGTCAAACCACAAGAAGCAGATACTCACAAAGAAAGGCACGATGGAGACGGTAACGAACCTCGTATCTGGTGCTGCCGGCGTTGCGTCGCGCGCTATCTGGGGCGAGGCAGAGAACGAGCAGAAGAGAGAGAATGAGACTCTGGGGAAGGAACCTCTATCTGGAGTAGTCGGCGACGTGAAGAGCGGCGAGCCTTACGATAAGGGAAACGCCGGTAAGATGACCATGCCCCCTGCCTGTACTCATGGGCAAAAATACTGATGCGCTTCTCTACAGAAGATTCTACTATCGGCACCGACAGAACATCAACCCTGACTTCTAACCCGAAAGTCACAGACACTACTGCTCCTTCTGTGCCAAGTGCAAGTGAAGGTCTTGTGCAGAAGAAGGAAGACCCGACTGTCCCAGCGCCATCGACCACGTCGACTACTAGCGTTGATGCCACGCTGGTTTCGGAGCTTCCTGATCGTCCTATTGAGGTATTCGAGACGGGACCGAGTACGGGGATCCAAGACATAAAGCCAGATACTGGATATGCTATGAAGCATGATATTACGAAGAGTATCGACGAGCAAGCCGCAACCAGTGCGGCCGTAGCTGGACTTGGAACCCCAAGCGGAATGGAGAAGGAGAAGGAGAGCGTGGGTACGGGCGCGATCAAGAGTACTGAGCGTTTGAATAATTCCGGTAAGTTATGACACTTTGAGAAATATGTGGTAGCGAACAGATGCTAACACGCCACAGCCTTTCCAGAAACCACACCCTTTAAGACCGAGTCGTCCACCAGCCTCTCAACCGCTGCTCCCTCAACCACTGCCCCCTCAACCACTGCCCCCTCAACCACTGCTCCCTCAACCACTGCCCACTCAACCACTGCCCCCTCAACCACTGCCCCCTCAACCACTGCCCCCTCAACCACTGCCCCCTCAACCACTGCCCATCCCGTCACCACCCTCCCGGAATCAGTCACCGAGCATTCAGGCTCAGCGTCAAAGAAGAGTCTCGAAGAATCCGGCTCAGTCTCACCGGATACGCCGGGAAAGAAAAGCCTGAAGGAGAAGATTGGCCTCGAGAAGCTGAAGGCGAAGCTGCACATTCATAAGGAGTCTAACGAGTAGACTAGGAGGAAGGAAAACGATTTGGAAGGGGGTGGACTTGCGATTGCATAGGGATGCGCGTTGATTTTTTTTTGATACCGATCGATTGATGAGGGGTCGCCTCGCGTCGAGAACGTTTGCCTCTTTTAGCCTCGTTGATGTTGATGGGAATGAGACTTTGCTTCTTCAATCTCCTTTCTCGAAGCATCGTGTTACCGAGTTTGCGTCATGTGCGGTCCATTATGGGTATGTGAAAGTCCTCGAGTGATGCGCAAGGTTTGTGGTGCCGACCGCATTTCCACCAGTTGAATTGCATTGCAACCACATTGTAGACTTGTCACGGATGTACTTGTCGTGGACATATGCACACTTGGCCTACGTATTCTGAAGCGGTTCAACGGGTGGGTAAGGATAATCTGTCTTCAAACACACACACACCCACACACCACTGGAAGGAGCTAAGCGAGAAAGGCGAGAAAAGAGGGGGGGGTGACATGGACCGACCCACTTCTGCTTCTGAACGCTCAACGATCGATGTTCAACGTCAACGTCAACGTCATCGTCAACAGCAGCTCTTTTTATTCTATTTATTTTTTTACTTTCTCTCTTTCGTTTCGTCTTTTTTTTTTCTTTTTTTTCTTCTTCCTTTTCCTTTACTTGAAGAATGGAGAATGGAGAGGGGGGGGGGGGGGGGGGGGAGAGGAGGGAAGGGCGTGGTCGGTTTTTGGTTTGGTTGGTTGGT